AAAAGAAGGTAAGGAAGGAAATAAGCTACTCCGTCCTCTATGTTTTGCTCACCCTTCTTGGAAATATTTTTAATCTGTAGAAGGCTCTGGAGGGCCAACAAATAATAAGCCTGTCTTCAATAGTTTGTTGTCAATAGGGAAAAAACGTATAGGAGATAGAGAAATGAGGTCAGAATACCAGCTGATGTGTAAGTAAATCTGGGCTTTGCCTGCGAACTGTAAGGGCTTACTGATATTTCACCCCCTCAGGAAACATAGTGAAGCACTCAAACTCCAGCCTCTGTGTTCAACTACAGGCCTTCTGTAGGCATGGCAGAGAATGGACCAGAATGTACCCTTGCAGGCACTCTGGCATCCAGAATAGCAAGGAAAACTCAAGAGTCCCTGAGCCATGCATATTGAGTTCATTGTATAAAACTGACCAGTCAGATAAGACATTCTTTCGTCCATTCTTTTTCCTCTGTGTGATTTGAAGAATTGGGATAAGCATGTTCCTGGATGAGCTTGTCCCCCTAATGCTCTTTACATTAAAGATAACTGTGTGTCTTGGCCCCAGACTAACCCAATTTAACCTTCCTTTTTCACCATAATTATATTATCCCTTTTGTTCTTGAAAGTGGACAATACATTGTATGATCATTCTAATATCTCTTTAGAGATAAATTTTATTCTAGGAATGTCCAAACCTCTTTAATATAATAAGTGCTGCTATCTACCCTACAGCTGGGTGCACCTATAATTATCTGGTAAGAATTGGAACTTTCAGCATATTTGTTTTATGCACAGCCCACCTTTACCACTTTCTTCTGTGCATTTTATTACTACCACCACCCCACCCCCGCCAGATAAGCTCTTCTGACTCACAGAGGTATTGCCATAGTGCTATGTTCAGAGTAGATGCTGGAAAGAAAATAATAATATTCCAAATGTAGAATTATATAGTTTAAGATACTATTTGCATTCTGCTAAATTCTGCTTCTTCTAGTAAGACCTTAAAATTTCTAAGACTTGGCCTTTTGTCCCAGTCTTCTGATATTCAAAACCCAACTGTGTCTTTACACTGTATCTGGTGGTTTAATTGATGTACATATTTGTCTTCCATTCAAATAGGATAATAAGTATTTTCATTAAACAGTTATCTTAAAAATAGGAATTTGTTTTACTCTCAACACACCCCATTTTCCTTATGATGAAAGAAAGATTAAATTTTTACTAAAGGCAGTTTACAAATGTATTGAATGTTGATGTCATTTTGGAGCTTGGAACATGATAAAAGAAAATTATCTATGAATAGAGCTCCATCATGAGAAAGCAAAGCAATTGTAATTTATACATTTAAATACGAAAAGTCCTATTTTGGGAAGAGGAAAGAAAGAAGGATAAACTCATGGGCTTTAGAAACAGCCAGCTGCTAGATATGCCAAAAATAGTTCTGCTTCTGAATCAGTTTTTAGGGGGAATGCTCTGGCTTCTAAAACAGGAAAAGATGGTTAGGGTAGGTCTTTCCTATCTCAGAAATAAACATTTTCTTTTGGCCCTAATCCTCCCCATAGCTTTTCTTTTTTAATATATTTAGTTAATTATTTATTTGAAAGAGTTAGAGAGAGAGAAAGGGACACAGAGAGAGAGTCAGAGATCTTCTCTTCACTGTTTCATTCCCCAAATGCTGCAATAGCTGGGGCCCGGTCAAAGCCAGGAGCCAAGAGCTTCTTCTGGGTCTCCCACTTGGGTGCAGGGGCCCAAGCACTTGGATCATCCTCTGCTGCTTTCCCAGGAGCATTAGCAGGAGTTGGATCAGCAGTAGAACCGGAGACCATTTGACATGCCAATGTGGGCAGAAGTTTAACCCACTGTGCCACAGTACTGGCCCCTACCCATAGATTTTACACTATCGTTTTCATATCCAGTGTTAAAACAGACAAAACCAATTTAAACATAATTTATTCCTAAGGACTCTACTTCCTGTTTTATTCTTTACTGAATAATATTCTGCCAGTGAAACTGCTTTTCTCACCAATAATTTCTTGGTTTCCAATCTGGTGCACTTTTTAGCCCTTACCTTTATTCCTGACAGCTTTGGGAAGCATTTGTTGGTGTTGGTCACACTTGGTTTTTTTGTTTGTTTGTTTGTTTTTTGACAGGCAGAGTGGACAGTGAGAGAGAGAGAGAGAAAGGTCTTCCTTTGCCGTTGGTTCACCCTCCAATGGCTGCCACGGCTGGCATGCTGCGGCCGGCGCACCGCGCTGATCCGATGCCAGGAGCCAGGTACTTCTCCTGGTCTCCCATGGGGTGCAGGGCCCAAGCACTTGGGCCATCCTCCACTGCACTCCCTGGCCACAGCAGAGAGCTGGCCTGGAAGAGGGGCAACTGGGACAGAATCCGGCGCCCCAACCGGAACTAGAACCTGGTGTGCCGGCGCCGCAAGGCGGAGGATTAGCCTAGTGAGCCGCGGTGCCGGCCACACTTGCCTTTGACACCATTCCCCTGACTGTTCTTACTTTCTCCATCTGCTCCTTAAAATATTAGCTCTCACAAAGTTCTTTTAGTCTCCATCTTTGTTCATTAAATATATCTAGATAATCCTGTCCAGTGCCATAGCTTTGATTACATTGTCTCTCAAATCTATCTTCTGTATTTCTCTTTTGGGTACCACATTCATATTGCGAAGAGTTCATTAGATACTTCTGTTAGTGTGCTCTACAGGCCACTCAGATTTAACATCTTCTCTTTCTACCGTCAACAAATGACAGGACAGAGCTTCCCATTTGCTTGAGCCAAAACCTACTTAGCATGCAACTTTTTCTTCACTTTCTTCTCTTTGGTGCAGTTAACTGCCAAATTCTAGAAATTCTAATTTTAAAAACCCTGCCATTTTTGAGGGTTCATTAGTGCTAGACACTATTGTAGGCTTTTTGAAAATATACCATTTGTCCTCTAAATTCCTCTAAACTCAACTTATCTATTCCCACAGCCATTTTCATATTAGATATTAAGTAAATATCTGATAATATTTCCTTTTCATTCCAGAAACCTGGGCATTGCCTTGGCCTTCTGCCTCCTTTCCTCCCTCGAGACTCATGGCAGTCATTAAGTCATATTGCCTTGGTTGCCTTCTATTTGCAATCTGTTCTTTCTTCCTGTCCCCGCTACCACTGCCTTAGTTCCTGCTTTTATAATTTCATATTAATGTTTAGTGTTCCTTTATTCTTACTCCACTCAACCTATTTCATCCTCTATTATTGCTACCCATATCTTTTTGAAATATACATTTAATCATGTCACAGTGCAGCTTCATCAGCTCCACTATTACCAAAATAAAGATCAAACTCTCTAACAAGGTACTTCAGGAGTATTGGAATTGGTACTTGCTTTTAAGGCTCATCTTTTTTTTGCATACAACTTGTGCTCCAGTCTACAAAATCACTTATAATTTCTGAAAATGCCAGACATTCTTAACTCCTCAGCGCCCTTTGATCTGTCTGGAATGACCCTCCTCACCCTAATCTCAACTTCTCCCTTAAGACTCAAACATTGCTTTCTTTGAGGTTTTTGGGATAGCTAGTCTTATCAGACAATTGGTATCATTCCTCTTCACTCCCCCAGAAAGCTTTTGTTTATCTTGTCATTTATATCATCTGCCTTCTTGTCTAGAACATGAGCTTGAGGAAGAAGGAGAGGGGAGAAGAGAAGCAAGGAAGGAAATGAGTGAATAAATCAATCCGTGGGTAGTGTATAAACACGCTGGATGTCTCAGTCTTGCTTTTATCACTTTCATTTTAAGTGGGAAAACAATAACCGCTTCTCTATCTGCTTTAATCTACTTTTCAAAAAAACTGGTTAATGGTATCAGTGGAAAGAGTTTAAAATTGCTAAAAGCAATCTAGAAGATAAATTGCCACATTTGTTTCTTCTCCTAAAGAAAGCTGTACTTCAATCTGTTTGTTGCCAAATGCTTTAAATGCTCAATTAAAAGGCTAAACCAACTTCCAAGTTAAAAATGAAATATTTTGCTGAGCTTTTTTCCTAATTAAGTATTAACATATCTTTTTCAGTGAATTTTTCAGATAACAAATGGACTGTTTGAGCTCTCTATAGTTCCTTCAGTTCTTCTCTAAAGACAAAGCATAAATTCAGTCGTGGCACCCTTGTAGAATTCATCCTTCCTCAGCACCGTGCAGTTCCCATGCTATTTCAAGAAAATTTCTGGTAAAGAAAAAACTCCTTTTCATGGGAGAGCCATAATGATAATGCTCTGCTATTACTGTTCTAGTGCATTTTTATAGATGTAATCCCGAGATACTCTTGTCCACATGACAAATGCCTTGTGACAAAATATCTTACCTGTTTAACTCATGGCTGCTTGCTTTCTGACTATGGAGGATCCAAGTGAACAGAGGGTATCCCAGTTTTTTACTTAGTCTTTTTTCTGTTTTAACAGATTACTTGAAACACTGTAGTTGTTAAACTAGTGTTCTGGCAGATGTTCAGATCAATTTCATACAAATGAAAGCAGGTACTTTCTTAAGTTTTAAGCAAATCTAGATTACCCATTTGAAATTGCAGAAATCCAAGGCTGGGCTCTCATTTGAGGGGAGGTGGGTCAGAATGTGTAACATAAATGTTTATGTATAATGGTGAAAATTTGTAACAAGTAGCTACTGTTTGTATTGGACTAGAGGGTAGGTATATCTCATATCAGCATTATCAAGCTTTTTCAGTGAAAGACATATCATAGATTTCTTAGGATAATTAATGTTTTTTATGTCATGTGAGTCAGCTGTTAGTTGGGTGCCACCTTTTGCTCTGCAATTCTCTTTACTTACTGACATAATCGCTGTTCGTTGAAGAAGCCATTCAGACTTGAACTGCGTTCTTTGGAAGTGAGCCTTCAGCTTTCTAACTCTAAAATATTGGTATAATGAAATAAAGAACAAATTCACTCTTGAATTTTTTTCTTTCCTTTTGAATCTGGGATTTCACTCAATTTTCTTTATTTGCAGAGCTTCCTTATGGCTGGGAGAAAATAGAGGACCCTCAGTATGGGACATACTATGTTGAGTAAGTTTGTTGCTTCAGTTAATATTCTCCCAAATGCTGTCCTTTCAGCACTCAGCTTTAGGGAATACTGGATACAGCATGGTATGCTTCTGCAGTCCAGCTTTCAGGTTTTTCAACTAGGGGAATGAGATGGTAGGGGCAGTGAGCATTTACTTCACTGACTTTGGGCTTTCCAGAAATTGGCTTTGAATTTCCAAATATGGAGAGTGAGAGGGAAGATGCCTGGAGAACTAATAGCTGGAGGTGCTGTCATTATACCACAGCTTCTAAAGAGAAAAGCAGTAGGTGCAAAACTGAAATGAAGGTACTGGACTTGCTGAACTGTTATGGTCACTTCCAGCACTGGCACTGTATGCCTATAAAAGTAATGAAAAGACTTTAAAAGCATTGGAACATAATGATCCATAGTTTTGAGTTATATGATCAAAAGTATGTTCTTTGGGGGAGGGAGAGTTGCTTCTGCAGCTGTTATGATTAAATCTAAACATAAATGTATGTGTGGAAGGATCACCAAGTAACTATATATGTCATGCAGAGAAATTAGGCTAATGTCAACATTTAATTTTTCTTTCCCTTCATTTATTTGATTGCTATATTGTTTTTACTGTTAAGGTTGCTTCTCTCTCTAGATATTACAGAAAGAATTTAGACCTCTGGTCTAATACCAGGCAAATAATTGATCAAATGTATTAATGTTAACCTGGAAACTCAATTCTGAACCAGCTGCCTAGCTAGTAAAGGCAAAACACCATTATGTGGGAAAATAGCAAATTAGAGAATCTTCCAGTTTTGTGATTGTTCATTAATTTTTTTTATCACTTTTTGGCATAAACCAATGCCACTTCCTGGTAGTTATCCCCAAAGTAACGATCTCTGACTCCTATTGTAACTCTGGTCTTTATTGTAATAGGTAGGTTGTTACTTCAGTCCCTGAGGTTAGAGATATTTTTGGAATGACTTCATAAAATTCAGTGCAATCTCTAAGGAAGCAACACAATTAGAGTGATGCTTAGGTATATACTTTCCTTATTTTTCTTTTTTCCTTCTTTATTTTTCTTTTCTGTTTTTAGTTAGGTGTGTAATTCCACAGTTTCAGTATTTTGGTTCCTTTGAAAGGCTATGCTAATTTTGTTTCTGTTGTGTATTACTGATGTTGATGAAATGTAATACGAGAAGTATATACCATCTCTTTTTGTTATTTTTTTCCTAAGGCATGTTTAGATAAATAAAGAAAGAAACAACCATTTTTCAAGTCAAAGGAATATTTGGAGGCCAACTGAAAAGATTTTATGAGATTATTTTTCCTCTCCTCCTAGTTTTGTCTATTTAAATTGGACTGCAATCAACTATTATTTGTCATTGACACTGGTGAACATTTCTGAGATAATGATTCTCATTATTGTCCATTCCAAATGATTGTGAATGCATGGTCAAGAGGTGAAAGTCATTTGCCTGTTATAAAATCTTGTGCTGAATGATCTGGTTCCCATTAAGCAAAGATATAATATTGAAGCAACTTCAGGGCAGATCCTGAAGTGACCTCCACCCCGTTGTCATGGAGGTGGGTGAAATGGTTTAAATTAGAAGCAGCAGCAGCAGCATGATTGTGTGTGATTGTTCCCAGAACGAGCTCATTTACAGGAGAGTAATTTATTAGACTAAGAAAGACCAGACTGTACTCGAGATGCACATTAGTGTGGAGTCAGCTGAGCTATGCAGTGTGGCTTGATTCCCAGATTAGTTAGGTTTTGAATCTCCACAGTAGTAATCTGCAGTGAGTTTACCGAAGGAGATAAAAAGCTGTTACTTGAATGGCTACTCTTTGGCTCACTTAGTTTGTCAAACCAGATGGCACAGTGATTGCTCTTGGCAGGAGCCTGGTAGTAGTAACACCAACTGCAATGGTAGTTTTTCCTTGTGAATGTTTGATAGAATGAGACTCTGAAACAGATTAATTTAGTTTTAAATATAAAAATTTTCCAAAAATTTAATAGCAGGCCTTCTAAGTTGTTTATATATTTAGAAATGTTATATTGATTGTATTGCATTAAATGTCCTGATACACTTAGATGACATGCCAAAATATACATCTGCTTTTATATCTCAGACTGTTTGTGAAAGAATATTTTATTTGTTGAGATGAATGTTTAAAATCCAGACCAAAAAAGTTACTATCAATTATGTTCTCAATTAAATATTTAATCATTTTTGTTTGCCACCTGTATTTAGTCTTTATGATAATTATACTATTCTCCTCTCTTATTTCCCATAGCTAGTTATATGGAAAACAAAATCTGTTACATGTTAACATTGTGGATATAAGTAACTAAGTGAAAAAGAATATTTTCACTGTTTTGTTTTCTGGGGTAACATTTTGATCCAGTTAGTCTAAGATAAAAGATGTAATTATTTCCCTCATTATATTCTTTTGTCAAAGAATTTCTAGGAAGGGGATTACTCATTTGTGTGCTTCTACTCTCTTCTCCCACACATTACAAAAAAATATAAATACAAATTACTACTCTTTATGTTCTAATGCTTGGGTGACAAGGTGAGTCATTCTAGCTGGTGACATTATGGTGAGCTGAGATTCTTTATACAGCTTTATTATTTTCTGAGTGTCAGTTTTTAAGGTGTTTTTTTAATATGTAAAATATCAATACCTACTAAATAAATTTTTTAAAATACTAAGATTTTCATTTTCAGAAAAGGTTAAGTAACTAACTCAATGGATAGGGAACTCCCTTGTTAGTACACAGCAGAAGCATAAAAATCAGAATCCAAAGAATGTAAAGTACAATTTGACATCTTCAGAGCTCTGAGACTAAAGAACCCTATCTACTTTGGAGCTAGTATGTCTCAGAAGCTAAGTGACATAGAGAAAGCTAACATTCTTTGCTGTGAGGGTTTTTTGGTTGGTTGGTTGATGGGTTGGTTTTTGTCCCTAGGACCCTTTTTCTCTACTGTCACCATTAATATTCATAAATAGCAAAATATATATTTTATTTGTATAGCCATTTATATTTGGATTTTCTAGTATTCATCCTATCTAAAGACAGTCATAATACTGAAATTCTCATGATTTGATGTCTAATTTTTGGTGTTCACTATTGTCACTTATTAAAACAGATTTTACTGAACAATGCATATCATTTTTCAGAAATATATTTGTACTGTAGCAGTGCTAAAATTTGATTCCCATTTCTTCTGTATTAGACTTCTTCAGGTTCTTAAATATCTTTTTAATAATAGTTGCATTCTGCACTAGCAGCAGCATGAACAAGCTTATTGCCAGCATTACAATGCTGTGTCCCCTCTGTAAAATGTACTAGTCACAGAATGGTGAAGACCATTGGTTAATTGCCTACCCTCAAGTTTTCTCAAATTTTTCTGCTTTCCCTTGCAGAGCTCTGTGCTTTCCAAAAGTCAGCTGTGAATGTTTCCAATCATAAAAGTCAGTAGAAGTGATGATGTAATTATATAATTCCTTTAACTAGCACATAATTATGAAAATGTTAAGTGTGAAAGAATTGTTCTGTGGTACAGTTTGATATAAGCAAGTCACTTTCTTAGTTGTTAATGAATTGATATGAGTGAATAGAAAAGTACAGTAGTATTTCAGAAGGGTTCTATATGCAGATTTCTTAGAGTATCTTTATAGTTTGCTTCATTTTGGAGAAACTTCAGCCAAAACCCTCTATTATTAACTGCCTTAAAAAAAATACTGGGACCAGCATTGTGGCACAGCAAGCTAATAAGTTGCTGCCTGCAATACAACATCTCACGTTAGAGCACCAGTTCAAGTCCTAGTTTCTCCGCTTCTATCCAGCTCCCTGCTAATGTGCATGGTGGAAGATGGCTCAAGTACTTGAGTTCCTGCCTCCCATGTGGGAGACATGGATGGAGCTCCAGGCTCTTCGCTTCTGCCTAGTCCCCAGCCATTGCAGCCATTGAGGGGAAGTGAACCAGCAGATGAAAGATCAATCAATCTCTCTCACACCCTTCCCTTTAAATAAATAACTATGTAAAATAAAACTTAAAAAATTAATCAGTTACCAACATTTATGGTTGTATCAGACAAGAAGATTTCTATTATAGTTTTGAAAACTCTCATTGGCCACATTGTGTTGTTTTATAAAGGAAGTTACAGTAAATGTTGCAGAAACTTCAGCTTTTATGGCAGCTATTTAGCACAGCTATTAAGACACCTTTGGGATGCCTGCATCCCATATTGGAGTGCCTGGTTCAGAGGCCCAGCTTCTCTGCTTCCAATCCAACTTCCTGCTAATGTGCACTCTAGGGGGCAGCAGATGGTGGCCCAAATGCTTGAGTCACTGCCACTCTTATGGAAGACTCAAATTGAGTTCCTGGCTCCTGGCTTTGGCTGGGTCCAGCCCTGGCTATTGGCAGTCATCTGGGGAGTGAACTAGTGGATGGAAAACCTCTCCATCTTTTCTCTTTCCATCTTTGTCCCTCTGCACCTTTCAAGTAGAAAATGGGGGAAAAGGAGGCAAGTATTAAAATAAAAAAGCTTTAGCTTTGATATCCAGGTGTCTTCCGTAGGCCTTTATTTACTTACCCCAAAGCCCTTTCACTGTCAGCTGTCAGCTTTTGTGTGTTCCACAGTCAAAAGATACTTATCTGCCCATCAGTCTATGGTGATGCCATTGTATCATCAATTTTAAAATATGCAAATTTTGGCCGGCGCCGTGGTTCAACAGGCTAATCCTCCATCTAGCGGCGCCCGCACACCGGGTTCTAGTCCCGGGCGGGGCACTGGATTCTGTCCCGGTTGCCACTCTTCCAGGCCAGCTCTCTGCTATGGCCAGGGAGTGCAGTGGAGGATGGCCCAAGTGCTTGGGCCCTGCACCCCATGGGAGACCAGGATAAGTACCTGGTTCCTGCCTTCGGATCAGCGCGGTGTGCCGGCCACAGCGTGCTGGCCGCTGCGGCCATTGGAGGGTGAACCAAGGGCAAAAGGAAGACCTTTCTCTCTGTCTCTCTCTCACTGTCCACTCTGCCTGTCAAAAAAAAAAAAAAAAAAAAAAGCAAATCTCATCTTAAACTAAAATGCATATTCTTCTATATTTTACAGTCACCTTAACCAGAAAACCCAGTTTGAAAATCCAGTGGAGGAAGCCAAAAGGAAAAAGCAGGCAGGACAGGCTGAAATTGGATCTTCAAAATCAGGTAGAATGTTTTTCTTGGTTTTTTTCTTCTAAGAATAGCTTATGAAATGTGTATGCTGAATGAGTTTTAACTTTTTATTGCTGGGTCTTTGCAATTCATCAGAGAGGGAAAAATTCCACAGAGAACGTCTAATTTTTGTAAAGATATTTATTATGTTAATAAAATACACAAACATTGTGAGAATACTGAGATTTTTCTCATGATTAATAAAAATATGAAATATTTGAAAATCAAGTTAAAAAGTTTAAGTATGAAATTGTTGGGAAAAGGAATTGAGAAGCTTTTTTTCTGTGCTTGGTTTTGTTTTCAAGATTGTGTTGCTTCCTTGTTTTTTAAGACCAGGCCAGTATTGAATCTCTAGCTCATTATGAGCTTTTTTCAAGTTAATAACTTAAATCTAATGATTCTTCCTGAACTAACACATACTAAATAAATCTACCAGATTATTTGCCTACATTATTAAGTCTCAAGTGGGATTGTAGGTATTAGTAAAGCCAGATGCATTTGGAAGTCCTCAGATTCTGTTCATCCCTCCTCATCTCCTTCCCTTCACCATCTGTCATTAGTAACTAGGGGTCTTTAGGGTCATATTGTGGTAATCCAGTAGACTCTTCACTTGTGTTGCCCATGGGAGGAATAGTCCTTTCTTATAGCTACTCTTTAAAAATATAATCTCCTCTGCTTCAGTTTTGTGTTTGTTTTAGCAAACATTTTTACTTTAACAAGTATTTCTGAGCACCTACTGTATACCCAGTGCTTTGCTTAGCAGTAGAAGGTCAACAGTGATTGAGGTCAGGACAGGTCTTGCTCTCAAGAGTTCACAGCATAACATAGGAAACTAACAGTTATAATATTTGGAGATAGATGCCTTCCTAGAATAGTGTTAAATTTGCAGACTGAGGAGCAGGTTTGAATCCCAGCTGGATCTATCTGCTTGTTTCTCATCTATAAAATAGGAATAATAATAGTACCTACCTCTTCAGATGGTTATGAGTATGCAGATTAATACATATAAAGTGCTTACAGTGATATTTGGCACAGAGTGTCACTAAATGATAGCTTTCATTGTTATTCATAAAGATATATGGTGGTTACCTCTTAACCACAGAGGATACAAGACTCTCCAAAAATTCCTGAAACTATGGGTAATACCAAAGCCTACAAATATCATGCTTTTTCCTATACAACTTACCTATCCTAAACTTGGACTTTTTCATTTAAAGTAAACACTTATGGCTTCTCTTTGTCATCTCTAAATTGCCAGAATCATTACTCTTGTGCTTTGTGGCTATCATTAAACAAAATAAGGGTTCCTTGAAAACAAGTATTATAATACCCTACAGCTGATCTAATAACCAGGACTACCAGGCAAGTAGCATATACGGAGTGAATATTTTGGACAAAAGGATGATTCATGTCCCACGTGAGATGCCTTGAGACTGCATGAGATTTCACAATGCTATTCAGAATAGTGTGCAGATTAGAACACATTAATTGTTTATTTCTGAAATATTCCACTGACTATTAAGTTAGATAACCTATCTCTAATATCAGATTTAAGGGCCATATTCATTGTAGTCTCAAACTCATTTTGTCATTTGTCACAGATGTGGAAAAATCACACTTCACACGAGACCCATCCCAACTTAAAGGTGTCCTTGTTCGAGCATCACTGAAAAAAAGCACAATGGGATTTGGTTTTACCATTATTGGTGGAGATAGACCTGATGAGTTCCTACAAGTTAAAAATGTGTTGAAAGATGGTCCTGCAGCTCAGGATGGGAAGATTGCACCAGGTAACGAGTTTTTCAGAATTGACTAAGGAGTAGTGATACTGTAAAGAAAATTGTGGTAGAGAAGTTTTAGAGAGAGAGAATTAACTTATATAGCTGAAGAGGAAGATTCCTGCATTTAAATGGTCCATCCTCAAAATTAAATGCATGCTAGCTTTGAGGAAGGGCCATTTTTACAAAAAAGCAGAAACTATTAGAAAAAATATTAATGTTTTTGAAGTACTTCATATAACTTTGAAATAATCCTTTGGCAGCATAAAACTAAAGATTTATTAACCATATCAGAAAACTGTTTGGTTGTTTGATTTTCCTGGATTGTGTAGGGGTGCTTTTGGAGATATCTAACATTTTCTTTTTTGATAAATAGCCCATTGTGACATTTATAGTGATATCAAACAAACTGTACATCCCAGGGGTTTTTTTCCCCAAGTATTTTTGCTTCTTTAGTTGTTACTAAAGAATGTTACTTTTTTAGTTCTTACTGGTTGTTAATAAAATTTAACTCTTCTGCTAAGAATTACAGACACAAACATAAATTTGTAAAACTGTAATCTTGTGTTTTCTGTAGTTTTCCTCAAGTCTTTATTTGGCAATTGTTAATACTGTAATATGACTGACAGTATTTGTGCCTGTGGAGCTTGGAGGAGGGTCAAAAAAATTGACTGATTACTGGAGTGTTTAAGTGATGTTTTCCAAAAGGATTTTAATTTTACACTGAAGTTGCTTCTTGTAGTGCTTTTGGTAGACTTTTCTAATTCTCTCTTATTTCAGAGGTCATATAAATATGGACCCATATGTGATTGGTTTATCATCATAATACTTTTTGGTGACAGATACCAAGTTATTTTCAATTAGGATATGAGATCTCTTTTTTGCTTTTCTGTTGAAGCTTAAAATAAGAAAACTTAAAATAGTCAAAAAATTGTATTTATAAAGAAAAATATTTTAACTACTTTTTACTGTATAAAATTAAACTGTAGAGATAAATTAACAGTCAGATTTTACTTAACTCTCAGTTTTGACCTTTTCAACATTTTGTCTGTGAAAATGTATTTCTTAGCTATTATGTATGTTGTCAGAATTTTATCATTTCAGCTTTGCCTAAAATTGTTATTATCTAGTTTGCATAACAGTACAATACTTCCATGAAAATTCTGGAAGTTTTCCCGAGGGAAGAAACGTCAAAGCTTTGCTTCTAATTAGTCTAATTTTTGTTATCTTCTAAGATCATGAAACAAAAATTAACATTTGTTTTTAACAACATTCTCATTGATTTTTCTTTTCTTTTTTATTTCTAGTTTTTATTTCTTTTTTATTTTTTAAATTTGTTCTGCAATGAGAACAAACTAAAGTACCTTCATTTGGCAATAACCTTTTAAATAATCATATTGAAATTAGGCCGGCGCTGCGGCTCAGTAGGCTAATCCTCCGCCTTGCGGCGCCAGCATACCAGGTTCTAGTCCGGTCAGGGCGCTGGATTCTGTCCCGGTTGCCCCCCTTCCAGGCCAGCTCTCTGCTGTGGCCAGGGAGTGCAGTGGAGGATGGCCCAAGTGCTTGGGCCCTGCACCCCATGGGAGACCAGGAGAAGTACCTGGCTCCTGCCTTCGGATCAGCGCAGTGCGCCGGCCACAGTGCGCCGGCCGTAACGGCCATTGGAGGGTGAACCAACGGCAAAGGAAGACCTTTCTCACTGTCCACTCTGCCTGTCAAAAAAAAAAAGGAAAGAAAGAAAAGAAAAGAAATTAAAGCTGCAAGTGGATGAGATAACAGAGAACAAATTTAAGGAGTCTGTTAAAAAATACCCAACTGATGTCATTGGTAATTCTACAACAAAAATGGTCATAATATTGTAAAATTAGGACAGCAGAACTTTTATAAGAATTAATTTAGCTGGATTTAGTATTCTTTGCTTGTGTTGAATTTTTCTTGCTTGTGTCACCTTTTGAAATCTGATTTATAATAGATTCAAAGTCTCTATAAACAGAAATGTTTTTGAAAACCATTCATAAATTAACATCATTCTAACCTTCATCTCTATATTTCACAAACCTAGAATTTCTAAAGTAGGTTATAATCAATGGCTTCTTAAAATCAAATGAAGTGAATTTAAGGATAGTCTGCTTGTAGCAGTAGCCAGTGGAATTATTTGCTCCTCTTCTATGTACTAAGTACCTATTACAATCTGCCGAGCTTTGTGTGGCTACTTAGGTGTGACTCAGGATATAATAACAATGATAATATCCATTTGCAGGGCTTTTTAAAATGGTTCACTTGAACTTGAGGTCAAAGCTCCTTCCTGCTAAGATAATTAAGATTTTAGACATTTGTATATACTTTTTAGAGAGGAGTCACAAATGGGAGAATGTCTGTTGTTTCAAATCTGTCTTTTCAGCAGGTAATACTTGTAAACAATAAGAGATTTCCGGAATCCAAAGATAGTTGCTAAATTTATTTTGCACCCCTTACCCAGCACAATTAATTTAGTTAGTGGTTGTAATTTTCTTTTGCATGTTTTACCAGGTGATGTTATTGTGGACATCAATGGCAGCTGTGTCCTGGGTCACACCCATGCAGATGTCGTCCATATGTTTCAATTGGTACCTGTCAATCAATATGTAAAACTCACTTTATGTCGTGGTTATCCACTTCCTGATGACAGTGAAGATCCTGTTGTGGACATTGTTGCTGCTACCCCTGTCATCAATGGACAGTCATTAACCAAGGGAGAGACTTGCATGAATACTCAGGATTTTAAGCCAGGAACAGTGGTTCTGGACCAAAATGGAAAATCGGGACATACCTTGACCAGTGATCGTCTCAATGGACCATCAGATCCAAGTGAGCAGAGAGCATCCATGGCTTCATCAGGCAGTTCCCAGCCTGAACTAGTGACTATTCCTTTGATGAAGGGCCCTAAAGGCTTTGGGTTTGCAATAGCTGATAGCCCTACTGGGCAGAAGGTGAAAATGATATTGGATAGCCAGTGGTGTCAAGGCCTTCAGAAAGGGGATATAATTAAGGAAATTTATCATCAAAATGTACAGAATTTGACACATCTCCAGGTGGTAGAAGTATTAAAGCAGTTTCCAGTAGGTGCAGATGTACCATTGCTTATCCTAAGAGGAGGTGAGTAAAAGCACAAGAAAAAATCTTTAATGCTCAAGCATTTTTATATGTTCATTGTCCATATTACAGGTCAGAATGTCTAATCCCAGCAGAGTTAACTGTTATTAGGTGTGCATTTTCCTTAGGATTCTGATTATTTCCATAAATGATATCCTTTTCATCAGTTCTTTAAGTTATTAGTGGTTTCATTGAATCTAACTTAGGGCTTTAAGGGTTAGAGAGAGACAGCACTGTACTGCTTGAAATGAAATATATCCTCTTAATTTCATTTTCTGCATTGATGACAGTGATAAGAATTGACTCTCTCAACCAATGCTGCTTCATCTAGACCTCTATAATTCACCAAAGATGTTTTGAAAGAGCTAATATCTTTGTGAATAAGTAAATGTCAGGTGGTATGTTGACCTGTTCTGCAAAGGCAATCATGATAGCTTATACTCATAAAGCTTTTGTCTTAAGCTCTAATATCTGCCCATAAATGTTAATTAAATCCCACAGTGCTTATGTGAGAGAAATATACATTTTATTTTTCCAAGGTCATCAGCTATCATGAACTGCTCGCAGCTCCAAGGACTAATTACAAAGTTGCCTGTTAATTGCTTTCTTAAGTCCATGCCTATATGAAAGAATAAAATTTAGCATATTTGTTATTTTATTTCTCCGGCTTTTAGTTTTCATTTTGAGGTAAATGAACACTTTTGCTGGGGAATTTTTAATTCTATTTTTTTAAACCATCTTGGTTTCTTCTCTGGGCCTTAGGGTAGAATGTGCTCAGAGTAAGGTGAAATCTCTTTGAGTATTAGAGGGTTATCCAGGGCTTCAGTGAATATAATAAAGACAAGGGTTTTTTGTCAGACAGGTTGATGTCTGTTTCCTTACTTGCCACTTACTGATTTTATATATATACACACATATATATAAATCTTAATTTACCTTATCTTTGAAATTATAATAATATTTATACCTTAAGATTGTCATAAAAATGAAATCAAGAATGTATAAATAATGCCTGCCACATAGGAAGTGATATGGATAGAATTTACTAAAAGTTGAAGCTAGTTTTGTCATAAACATTAACAGTATTTGTGACCTGGGAATCCTTCCTTTGTTTTTAAAATTTGGCTCATTTTCTTTAAGGTCCTCCATCACCAACTAAAACTGCCAAAATGGTGAGTATTCTGTGGTCCTTAAACACCTCTTCCCAACACACTGAGAGATGCTGTATTCCCCTTTCCTAAGAGCAGCTGGCTGTAGTGGTAGTGACCAGCTGGGAGAAGTCAGGGCCATGCTGCCCTGGGCTTATATCAAAACTTCTAGGGAGGTGTCAGAAAGGCCCCTAGTGAGGGGCTGCCCTCGCTGGTGAGTGTTGCTCTTAGAGTAACGCAAGAGACCCATGCTACCAGTAATTGTGTCCTCTAAATAGTAAAATGTGGATTCACTTAAAAACTTACTTAGAAATCCACTTACTTACTTTGTATTTCAGAGGATCAAATCAAGAAGTAGCCAACTGTTAAAACAGGTGATAAAATATTACATCATCTTTCTAATGCCCCAAGAGAAGACCTGATAGATTCACATAACTTCTTGGGGACTCTTAATACCCACATTTAGACACTGTCTCACATTTAGGACTAAAGACTCTCTAGAGTATGTATGACCTTCTGTGCTAAATGTATTTCTTATCAAAGCAATAGACTGTCAGACCCAAACACTGTTTTGACTGACATTCTTCTTAGTAGCTGAGTAGCCTAGTTAAGGGCCTGTATAGAGAAAAGAACTTTAAAAAATGAACGTTTACCAAATAGCATTGTTACAGAAGAAACTGTCCTAGGTACACATTGTGGCTATGTAAATATCCACACTTATGTGGGTATTGATGCAAAGTTATATTTAAAATCCAATATATACTTCTATTTTGCTTGGTATGATGGTCTCCTATAACATGAACTACAGGCAGTTAAGGGAAAACTGTAAGATATTAAATGGATTAATCCTTTATAGCACTCCAAATAGGAATCCACTGCAAATTTGTTGTTGTCTGATCCAAAAGAACAGAATCATTCAGCTGCTGCCTCCTTAAGGGCTGTACTATGTAGAGTTCGTTGTGAACAGAAATTTTTTGTTTAGTCAGTTCAAGTTGCACTGTTTTGTTTTGTTTTCACATTTCTCCAGTTCCTCTAGTAATCATTTTAAACTCCTATGCTGACACTAATTATTTTATAACAGATGCCATTGTAGCCAAGTGACCCTAATGTTTTCTAATTGGTGAAAGGTTCTAATGACCTTTAACTGCTTCTAACAGAATCCTGCGACCGTGAGAGAAGAGCAGGAGACAGGCTTACCTGCCGTCTCATGGGGTTTGGGTTAGAGAGTGTTCCCCTGGGACACAGGGCTCTATAGTGACCAGCACCTAGAGACTCCCTGACATACTGTGCTTTTGCATTCTAGTCAGCGGTTCTCAAAGCCATACTTAATAGGCTATTTACTGGGTTTCATTTATAAAATTTTGAGGAAGTTCTATCTGAATAAGAAAAATATTAAAATATATTGCTGTTTTCCTCTGTCTGATTCTCTGGCATAGTACATTTCCCTTAATATATTAGTTAACAGTTCTATCCCATTTTCCTAGAAAGTATTATCTTAAACATCTTCACTGGGAATTAATTCAGTGAGAGGTGGGACTTATCAAGAATTTCATGAAGGTATTCTCTGAGTCTCCTTCTTGCTTTACTTAGAAGTGCTGCTTGTGTTGCATTCGCATTCATCTTCATTCCAAATTCAAGTTGTGTCTTGGTAGTAGAGAAAAGGGCAAGCACACTTAGACTTATAAATATTTGAGACCTTTCAGTTGACATCATTTAAACTATTTCTAGTTTAACTTAAATATGTTTGAACCAAATAGACGTGGCTGCGAAAGTGGATTCCTCTGATACCACAGGTCTGCTGTGGCTTTGACCCTGCCACCACCACAGCTGTCATAATCACTTGACACATCTAGCTTAGATGATGGTTTTATGAATTAATTATCCATCTTAGTTTTTAAAATACTAAGTAAGGCCCTTTTCCATTTCAGAAAACAGATAAAAAGGAAAATTCAGGAAGTCTGGAGGCCATAAATGAGCCCATTCCCCAGCCTATGCCTTTTCCACCCAGCATTATCAGGTCAGGATCCCCGAAATTGGATCCCTCTGAAGTCTACCTGAAATCTAAAACTTTATATGAAGATAAACGTAAGTAGTTGTGGGCTATTTCAGAAGAGTATGTAATAATATAACTTTGAATTTTTTTTTAGCTGGGAGCATGACAATTTCAAAAGTGTATTGAAAAATCATTCCTTAATTCCCATTTTAATATGACTCTGGGCTTTTTTTGTGTCCATGCAACATTTACTCATTCTTTCAAAACCATATTCTAGGTTCCAGCTGTCTACCAGATACCATTGTATCTGAGTGCCCAGCACTCAGAAATCTAACCAAACTTAAATCAAAAAGACAAATATTCATTCCAGTGTACAAAATAAGTACAAATAAGCCTAACAGGTACAGTGATGGATCAATGAACTGGGTAAATTGGAAACAGAACTAGGAAACGATCAGTTTCATCTATGTGGGGAGTAAGGAGGAGGTAAAACTTCATTCAGAAATTATTTTGGCAGGTTACAAAAATGAGGAGATGTTTATGGGGAAGACAAAGGAAAAAGTAGGAAGAAGAGCATTTGCAAGGCCTGGGTGCTACCAGGAGCCCAGTTTGCTTAGGTATGTCTGGCAAAGAAAGCCCAAGGAGCAGAGTATGCACGGACACTTACGGCCCTAACAGGAAGCTGGGGTTGATAGTATAAATGATAGAGAGCCCAGAAAGGTTTTATCAATAGGGAAAGTATTATTGGGCTTGTGTTTTAGGAAGATTTTCCTGGTAGGCTTTGGAGGAAGAATCAGGGGGGTATGTGGTTTGAGGAAGGGTTTACAATGTGAAGAGGAAACCAGTCGACACATTAGAGGAATCCAGCTGAGAGATGAGAAGAGAGTACATAAGCCAAAAATTCATTTTTGTACTAATTTACTTAGAATAAAAAATCATTTCCAAAGTAAAATTGCAGCCTTCTATAGGTTTAATGTTTAAAATTCATTTGTTTTTAGCAATTAAATCTAAATCTACCTTGGAAAAGATATGTACAGATAGAAATATTATGTGTAATTGACTTCATGCTTATTTAACTAGTTGTAATCTTTATCTTGACATTCCAGGCCATATTTAGAAAAATGAAAAACCAGGTATAAGCATAACAAAGCAGTAATTTAAATTAATATTACTATATATAATCCCTTTCTACAGATATCTCATTCATAGCTTGATAGCTTCTTTTTTAAATTTTTTTTTATTTTTTTAATTTATTTTTTAAGGAATGCAAATTTCATAAGTACAACTTTAGGAATATACTTATTTTTCCCACCATACCCACACTCCCACCCACACTCCTACCTCTTCCTCCTCCCTCTCCCCTTGCCAGTCCCATTCTCCATTAAGATCCATTTTCAATTAACTTTGTACACGGAAGACCAACTCTGTACTAAGTAAAGATTTCAACAATTTGCACACACATGCACACACACAAAAAAAACTGTTTGAGAACTAGTTTTACAGTTAACTCTCATAATACAACTCATTGGGGACAGAGGTCCTGCATGGGAAGTTAGTGCACACTGACTCTTATTGTTAACAATTAGCACTCTTATGTATGACATCAGTGACCACCCGAGGCTCTTGACATGAGCTGCATAGGCTATGGAAACCTTTTGAGTCCACAAACTCCGTCAGTATTTGGACAAGACCATAAGCAAAGTGGAAGTTCTAACCTCCCTTTAGAGAAAAGCATATCCTTCTTTGATGGCCACTTTCCAGTGGGGTCTCACTCACAGAGATCCTTCATGTAGAGCATTTTTGCCACAGTGTCTTGGCTTTCCATGCCTGAAATGCTCTCATGGGCTTTTCAGCCAGACCAGGAAGCCTTTGGTCTGATTTTGAGGTCCTAGTGTTACTTAAGCGATTGTCATTCTATGAGTCTGCTATGTGGACTGCTTCCCTTGTTGGACATTCTCTCCTTTTTAATTCTACCTATTTTTATCACCAGGCACTTGATCCTATTTATATGATCACACTTTAACACTTAATCCTAACTATATGTTCACTTTAACACTTAATATTATCAGTTTAGTGATTAAGATGGCATTTTTGCCACCAAACTTAATGGGACTTGGAGTCCCATGACAAGTCTTTAAATTACTTACTTTTAGAAGTAAGTCCATAGGAATGTATGCAGAACTATACAACTTTACAGTTATAAACTTTCTCCTCCCTCTCTTATTCCCACTCTTATTTTTAACTGAGATCTATTTTCAGTTGACTTTATGCCATATGATTAACTCTATGTTAAGAGTTTAACAAGAGCGTGAAGAAGGGGGGAAAAAAAACAAGAAAAACAAAACTGTTCCTCAACATCAGGACAAGGGCAGCTCAAGTCATCCCTTCTCAAAGTGTCAATTTCACTCACAGATTGGAGAAAACATATGGAATTTGTCCTTTTGGGACTGGCTTATTTCACTAAGTATAATGTTTTCCAGATTCATCCATTTTGTTGCAAATGACCAGATTCTATTTTTTACTGCTGTATAGTATTCCATAGTGTACATATCCCATAATTTCTTTAACCATTCTTTGGTTGACAGGCATTTAGGTTAATTCCATGTCTTAGGTATTGTGAATTGAGCTGTAATAAACATGGAGGTGCAGATATCTCTTTTGTTTAGATAGATTCTTAATATTGGTATAAACTCTGTAGTCCCATAAATTAAGTGAACTGAGTTAATGACCTCTGTAGTCTCTAAAGTTCTATGTGTCCAATAGGAAGCATTTCTCAAGAGGCTGCTTCTGAAGAACATTGTCAGGAATTCATCCTACATCCTTCTTGCCTCATTTGCTTTTGTCTCTTTTTCTTTTTCTTTTTCTTTTTTTTTTTTTTTTTGTATTTCCTTGATATGTTTCTCTTTTTCTCTTTATAGTAAGTATTTCTTTCTTGTAAATAACATTCATGTTTTCCCAGAGATAAAATCTTGTCATGAGATAGGTTTTCCTGACTTAATATGTGGCGATATGAGAACTGCCCTCTGGGAGCAGGATTCTGTGTGTTAAGAGCCTGCACTGTGGACATCAAGCTGGGTTGGAATCTCAGCTCCACCGTTTCCTTGCTCTGTCAGACTGGGCAAGTTACTTGGGCCCTCAGGTTTCCCACCTAGAAAATGAGACCAATAATAGGTGTTAGCTCTTTGTATTTTCCTTTACAATACTATCCTTTTGTAAAACTAGTGTAAGTAAGTAGTTATATGGAATAAATTCTGAGACAAAGGTATTTTTTTTAAGAGTAGAAATAGGCACTTTTATGGGCTATCTTTATGCTCAGATATAAAATACATTACCCAAGTGTTGTGTTAGATCATTTGCACCTATCAAATATAAACTCAAATAGGAGAATTCTGGATTTAAATGTGATTGGACAGCATTAGAAGTTAGTGTCAGTGTAATACTGAGTGCATGGAAGTAGGGATAAACATTCCTAAATAATCCTGATTCAGTTTTGTTTATTGCTCAAAACAAAGATTTATAATTGAATTATGTATGTGCTATGCTCTTGTGTAAATTTTCACATATCAAAAATTCCTGGGATTAAAGTTAAATTATATTATCCTACTAAAGATTGAATTTTGTTTTGTTCTAATCCTTTTAAAATATAAGTATCTATTTTATATTTCCTGTTTTTCCTTAGCACCAAACACCAAAGATTTGGATGTCTTTCTTCGGAAACAGGAATCAGGGTTTGGCTTCAGGGTGCTAGGAGGAGATGGCCCCGACCAATCTGTAAGTGTAAGCACTTTGGAGCATGGCTGCTTTCATTAAAATTTTTGAGTAGTAATTTGGTAGAACGTGGTGTGTTTTGTTTTGTTTTGTGTTTTTTTTTTTTTTAAGTTTTATTTTTCTATTAGTTTCGCTGATATGAAGAACAACTGCATTCCTATGAGTATCATAGTCCCTCCATTAGTGTGGTGTAGTTGAGGCTAAAAACTGTAGGTAAACACTGAATGTGTCAGGTATAAATTGCACAGTGATTAATTTACTTCTCTTTGTAAATGAGTAAAGCTTATTTTAATTTATTATGTACGTTGCCTTTGTTAAACAGATCCTAAGACAGTTTCCTTCTCATCTTTGTCCTTCAGTATCCTAACCAGAAATACTGTATCACCTGAATACTCCATGAATAATTGGCTGAGCCTGTGCATATTACTTCACCTAGTCTTAATAATGGGTTTGCATTTGCATACTCAGTACTTTACATGTCCTTTCATCTCTAAAGCCAGAGGAATACAAAATAACTAATATGTCCAGAAGGCATAAGGGCTATATTTGCAAAGCATTTATTATCTAGAATTTTGGGGCAAGTGTTGTGGTGCAGCAGTTGAAGCTATTGCTTAAGACACCCGAATCCCATATTAGAGTGCTGGGTCAATCCAGCTTCCTGCTCATGCATCCTGTGAGGCAGCATATGGTGATTCTCCAGGTGGGCGACCCAGATGGAGTTCAGGGATCCTGACTATGGTGGGTATTCAAGGAATGAACCAGCAGATGGAGGATCTCTCTCTTTTTCTCTCTATTAGTCTGCCTTTGAAATAGATAAATGTTTTTGAAGACTGCTTAAGTGTATATTTATTTAACAACTAAACTCTAGAAATTTGTTTAGACATGATTCTCACATGAAATTAGAGAACAGATGCAGTGGGTTTTGTTTTTCAGTTTTGCCCTTGGTTTAAATGATAGCAAAGTAAAGTACTTTGTGGAATTTTAGAACATATTTACATTTTCTTTTCTAAAAAACAATTTATTTTATTTACGTGAAAGGCAGAGTTACAGAGAAAGAGGGAAATACAGAAAGAGAGGGTTCATTCAGCAAATGGCCACTGCAGTTGAGATGGTGCCAGGCCAAAGCCAGGAGCTCAGGGCTCAATCTAGCACTCGGGCTTTCTTTCACTGCTTTCCTGATTTCATCAGCAGGGATCTAGATCGACGTGGAGCAACTGGGACTTGAACTGGCACTGATATGGGATGCCAGTGTCACAGGCGTTGCTTAACCTGTTACACCACAATACTGGCCCCATTTTTTTTGGTGTAATGTAAAAGAACACTACATTGTTATGCTTAAAAGTTGGGTGAATAGCAATAATCCTTGGGGGTTTTTTTTTTTTTTTAAGATTTATTTTATTTACTTGAAAGAGTTAGAGAAAGAGGTCTTTTTTTTTTTTTTATGGTGAAAAAACATATATTTAGAATTAGCCAGCTGGACTCCGTTCAGCTGATCCCAGTTTTGTTGGCAGCGTCCAGAGCATCATAGTCAGGAGCCAGCCGCACACACGCCTTCTTCTCTACGTCAGGTCTGATCAGGGTGTTGACTTTGGCCACATCAGTGTCATAGAGTTTCTTCACAGCTTGTTTGATCTGGTGCTTGTTGGCCTTGACATCCACAATGAACACCAGTGTGTTGTTGTCTTCTATCTTCTTCATGGCCGACTCCGTGGTCAGGGGGAACTTGATGATGGCATAGTGGTCAAGCTTGTTTCTCCTGGGGGCGCTCTTCCGAGGGTATTTGGGCTGCCGTTGGAGGCATAGTGTCTTGGGCCGCCAGAAGGTGGGGGACGTGCAGATCTTCTTCTTCTTGTGGCTATGGACGCCTTTCAGCACTGCTTTCTTGGCCTTCAAGGCCTTCGCTTTGGCTTCAACTTTAGGAGGGGCAGGAGCTTCCTTCTTCACCTTCGGCACCATCTTGGGGAAAAGGAAAGAGGTCTTCTATCCACTGGTTCATTCACAAATGGCCCTCAGCCAGAGCTGAGCCAATTGAAAACCAGGATCCAGGAGCTTCTCCCAGGTCTCCCACGTGGATACAGGGGCCCAAGCACTTGGGCTATCCTCTACTGCTTTCCCAGATGCATTAGCAGGGAGCTGAGTCAGAAGTGGAGCAGCCAGGCCTCAAACTGACACCCATATGGGATGCTGGTACCACGAGCGGTGGCTTTACCTGCTGTGCCATAGCACCAGACCTGCATAGCAATCATCTTTTAAAATGATAGGCTTCTTTCTTTTTCTGAATAGAATATTTGATTTATATAGTGTAATATTAGTAATAATAGTATATTTAGTCATATCGGTTACAATTTCAATAATCATTGAATATACATAAAATTTAAGACAGGTTACCCTGTATAGGACAAATGTAAGATATTTTTATTTTTTTGATGGTGTATGCATTTTTGTTTCTATTGGTTCCTATTTTGTTGATACTCATATTGTTCACTGAGACATTTTAAGAATTTATCTGTTGTTTAAACTTGGGAGAACCTTTCTTTATTTTTAAATGTTAGGTTTTAGCAACTCTGAAACTAGCCTAACATTCAAGGTTGCCTAATTATAGGATTCTAATTGTTAGTGAGCAGAATGAACCAGATCTTCTCAACTAGATGCAAATGAACCTCGGGCTACTTTGTTCCCTTTGATACTTAGGAAGGAGAAGTATTTCTCTGTTGTGCACTGTTAGCCATAGGTGATAGGAGTATTCTAAGAATGGACCCAGTTACTGTGAATAATGTGTAGAAAATCTTTGCTGGGGCTAGTGCTGTGGTGTAGCGGGTTAAGCCACCTGTAGCACCAGCATCCCATATGGATGCCAGTTTGAGTCCCGGCTGCTCTACTTCCTATCCAGCTCCCTGCTGGTGTGCCTGGGAAAGCAGTGGAAGATGGCCCAGATGCTTGGAACCCTGACCCACATGGGAGATCCAAATGAAACTCCTGGCTCCTGGCTTTCGACTAGCCCAGATCTGGCTGTTGGGGGCCATTCGGAGAGTGAATCAGCAGATGGAAGATTCTCCCCCCTCGTTTTCTCCCTCCCTCCTTCTCTTTCTCCCTCCCTCCCTCTCTCTCTCCCTTTCCCTCTCTCCCTCTCTTCTCTCTCTCTTCCTCTCTCTCTTTCTAATTCTGCCTTTCAAATAAATAAATAAATCTTAAGAAACTCATTCACTTCTAATAGCTACTCCATAGAATTACTTTTCTGAGTTTTATGTTTTGTTTCATTGTAGTAATGATGGTGCTTCTTAAGTTATTCAACAATTTTATATTCTCTACTGTCCTTCTACTCAAAGGATCCAGATGGGATTATGTGATACAGAATGGTTATTTAAAGTGCATTTTGAAGAATGGGCACTTTGTAAGATACCATCTTTCTAAAATATGTCTATTTTCATAACTGAACTGCAAAATCTGCTGTTTTTCCCAGTGCTGAGTCAAGAAGTCTCTAACTCTTCAACTGATCTGAGTAGACCATACAGACCAACCTACACTTTGTTATCTTATCAGATATATATCGGAGCCATTATTCCTCTGGGAGCAGCTGAGAAAGATGGTCGACTGCGTGCAGCTGATGAGCTGATGTGCATTGACGGAATTCCTGTTAAAGGGAAGTCACACAAGCAAGTCTTGGACCTAATGACGACTGCTGCTCGCAATGGCCATGTGTTGTTAACTGTCAGAAGGAAGATCTTCTTTGGAGGTATATAGACTTTTCCTGCTCTTAAAAGTTAAAAAAAAAAATCAAAAAGACTGAGTTCATTTTCCGTGTGATTTTTCAGGTTGTTTTATATGTTTAATAGTACATGAGATGGCCGGCGCCGCGGCTCACTAGGCTAATCCTCTGCCTTGCGGCGCCGGCACACCAGGTTCTAGTCCCGGTCGGGGCGCCGGATTCTGTCCTGGTTGCCCCTCTTCCAGGCCAGCTCTCTGCTGTGGCCAGGGAGTACAGTGGAGGATGGCCCAAGTGCTTGGGCCCTGCACCCCATGGGAGACCAGGATAAGTACCTGGCTCCTGCCATCGGATCAGCGCAGTGCGCAGGCCGCAGCGTGCTGGGCCGCAGCAGCCATTGGAGGGTGAACCAACGGCAAAGGAAGACCTTTCTCTCTGTCTCTCTCTCTCACTGTCCACTGTGCCTGTCAAAAAAAAAAAAAAAAAAGTACATGAGATGATCTATTTGGTGTGTTCCAGGTCTTGTGGAAAGATTTGTAAAGTTAAACAGATCCAGAAATAACACTATCCCCCCCCCCCCAAAAAAAAGGGATTTGGGGCCTATATATTAAGATTACATTAACATTTTAGTGATCTGTTTTTTTAAAAAACAAAAATAGTTACTAAGTCCTACAAAGATATCTCATTAACCAGATATCAGGGTTAGCACTGAGTGTAGAAGGTTAAGCCACCACCTGTAGCACTGGCATCCCATATGGGCTGGTTCGAGTCCCAGCTGCTCCACTTCCAATCCAGCTCTCTGCTATGGCCTGGAAAAGCAGCAATAGATGACCCAAGTCCTTGGGCCCCTGCACCCACATGGGAGACCTGGATGAAGCTCCTGGCTCCTGGCTTCAGCCTGGCACAGTCTCAGCCGTTGCAACCATTTGAGGAGTGAACCAGCAGTTGGAAGATCTCTGTCTCTCCTTCTCTCTCTGTATTTCTGCATTTCAAATAAATTAGCAAATAAATAAACACTTTTTAAAAAACAAATATGAGAAGATCTTGGATACTAATGAAACTCCAAATTCAAGTAAAGTGAAATGTATTGACCAAAGAAGTTTTGGTAAACAATAACACTTTTTACTGTTTACTTTTTAGTTACTTGAAAGGCATAGTGACAGAGAGAGAGAGAGAGCGTGAGAGAAATCTTCCATCAGGTGGTTCATTCTCCAAGTGCCCATAATAATAGCCAGGGCTAAGCCAGACTGAATCTAGTATCCCAGAGCTACCACATCCTGATTTCTCATGTGAGTGGTAGGACCCAAGCACTTGAGCTGTCATCCACTGCCTCTCAGGATGCATTACTAGGAAGCTACATCAAAAGCAGAGGAGCTGAGACTTGAACTAGCTCTACAATATGGACTAACTTAACCTGCTGCACCATGACACCTGTCCCTGATGTAAGATTTATTGAGTACTTTCTATGTACCAGATACATGGATCATGTATTTCATCTTTACAACACAGTGATATAAATTCTACAGATATCTGATTCTATAATTACAGAAAGGTTGAGCAAAATTCAGTTTAATTGCAGAACCCAGGATCTAAATCATTACATTTGGATATGAACATATCTCACATATCCCATCAGCATCTATGTGAACGTTAAATAGGAATTTTTAACATGTGAATTCTTGCCACCTTAAAATTTTAAAGAGACAACTCTGCAGCATAAAAATATGAGCCTCATGAATGGAAGAATTTTAATCCATTGAGCTATCTGCTATATCCCCAGTACCTAGTAGAGCACCTGCCTGGCACAAAGTAGGCATTGATAAATATTTGTTAACTTGATGGATATTTATATGACTCTTTTTTCCCCAGAAACCTTTTATTTAAGCTATACAAATTTTGTTTCATATACACAACCTTAGGAACATAGTGATTCTTCCCTCCATACCCGCATGCTCACCCTTCTTCCTCCTTCCTCTCCTATGCCCATTCTTGTTTTATACTAAGATCTATTTATACACATAAGATTAACTCTATACTAAATAGTTCAACAAATAGTATGAGGGAAAAAAATGTTCTTCAGTGGTCGAGACAAAGGCTGTTCAAAATCATAGCATCCCAAACTGTCAATTTCACTTCTATACATTACCTTTTAGGTGCTCTATTAGTTACCATAGATTAGGGAGAATATATGGTGTTTGTACTTTTGGGACTGGTTTATTTCACTTATGATGTTTTCCAGTTTCATTCATTTTGTTGCAAATGACAGGATTTCACTTTTTTTAACCACTGTGTAATAGTCCATGGTGTACATATCCCATAGTTTCTTTTTTTTTTCCAGTGCATTCTCAGCCCATGCTGCTTTACTGCTAAAAAGTATAAAAGTGTGTATATATATATATATACACACACACACATATATATATACACACACATATATATACACATATATATGTATGTATAAAAGTACATATATATATATTTGTATGTATGTATACAGACACAGACACAGGTGCAGAGTTTCCAACTCTTACAATTCTATCAAAGAATAAAATTTCTGCAGAAATCACAGAGATGCATAGATTATAAAATAAGCTGTCTTTGTAATACTTTAAACATATTCAATGAAATTATTTTAACATAACCAGTGGTGCAGTGGAGAATATGCAGTACAAGCAAGCACAGTAAGCACCTCCTGCACTGGGAGGACAGTAAATAAACTGCAATGTGAAGGACACTCTGATAGCCATAGTTTCTTTATCCAGTCTTCAGTTGAGGACATTTGGGTTGATTCCATATCTTAGCTATTGTGAATTGAGCTGCAGTAAAATGGGGGTGCAGATAACTCTTTCAAATGCTGATTTCATTTCCCTTGGGTAAATTCTCAGCAGTGGGATGGCTTGGTCATATGGTAGGTCTATATTCGGATTCTGAGGTATCCCCATACTGTCTTCCACAGTGGCTGTACCAGTTTACAAATTCCCACCAACAGTGGATTAGGCTACCCACATCCTCACCAGCATTTGTTGTTTGTTGATTTCTGTATGAAAGGTATTCTAAGGGGGTGAGGTGAAACCTCATTGTGGTTTTCATTTACATTTCCCTGACAGCTGGTAATCCTGAGCATTCTTTCTTGTGTCAGTTGGCCATTTGAATTTCCTCTTTTGAGAAATGTCTGTTTAAGTTTTTGCCCATATCTTAACTGGGTTGTTTGGTTTTTTGTTGTATAATTTCTTGATCTCTTTGTATATTCTGGTTATTAATCCTTTATCAGTTACGTATTTGCAAATAATTTCTCCCATTCAGTTGGTTGCCTCTTCACTTTCCTGAGTGTTTCTTTTGCAGTACAGAGCGTCTCAATTTGATGTAATCCCATTTGTCCATTTTGGCTTTGATTGCCTGTGCCTCTGGGGTGTTTTCTAAGAACTCTTTGCCTGTGCCAATATCTTGCAGAGTTCCCCCAGTTTCTCTAATAATTTGATGATATCAGGTTGTAGTTTTAGGGTTTTGATCCATTTTGAGTGGATAAAGCCACGACCTGCATTGCTGCATCCCATATGGGTGACAGTTCAAGTCCTGGCTGCTCCACTTCCAATCCAGCTCTCTGCTATGGCCTGGGAAAACAGTAGAAGATGGCCCAAGTCCTCTGCACCCGCATAGGAGACCTGGAAGAAGCTCCAGGTTCCTGACTTTGGATCTGGCCAGCTCCGGCCATTGCTGCCATTTGAGGTGTGAACCAGCAGATGAAAGACCTCTTTCTCTCTCTCACTGCCTCTTTCTGTAACTCTGCCTTTTAATAAATAAATCTTTTTTAAAAAATGGGGTTCTGTAGTTTTGATTGCAACATCCAAAGTAAAGGCCTGCCTGTCTTAGGAAATAGTTAGGCCTTTAGAGTTGAATATAAATTTTAATGCAATGTTTCACTAGTTTAGTTGTGCCGAAGTTGGGACATACATACTTACAGTAAAAACATGATGTTACACCACCTACAAGTTGGCTCTTCCCTGGAAAGCATCATGAAGAAGTGTCATAGTAGTATGATTATTTTTGAGGCATCTTTGCTAATTCGTTCTGTCCATACATCATGCCAAACAGATCCTTTATTTTTAATAATGACTGAGTATTGGTAGCATTTTGGTGAGATTCTAAAATGTATTTAAAATTCTATAAGTTTTAAAGGGCATGTTTGGTGCAGTAGTTAAGTTGCCACTTGGGACACCCTGCATCCCATGGTTCAAGTCCCATCTGCTCCACTTCCAGTCCAGCTTCCTGCTAATGCACATCCTGGGAGACAGCAAGTGATGGCTGAAACCCTGGGGTCCCTACCACTGATGTGGGAAACCCAGATGGAGTTCCAGGCTCGTGGTTTCAGCCTTTGCTCAGCCCTGAGCGTTGTGGGCAGTTGGGAATCAAATCAGAAAATAGAAGATCTCTTTGTGTGTCTGTGTCCATGCCTTTCAAATAAAATGAAAAAAAAAAAAAAAAAAAGTAAGTAAATAACTTTGAAAAAAAATAAAACTATATCCTTAAAAAAAATCTATAGGCTGGTGTTGTGCAGCAGATTGCCACCTATGACACTCAATAATCCCATTTGGGGAGTACCAGTGTGAGTCTTGGTTGCTCCAATTCCAGTCCATCTCCCTGATAATACAACTGGGAAAGCAACAGCGGATGTTCCAAATACTGGGCCTCTGCCTCCTACATGGAAGACCCAGATGGAGTTCTAGGGTCCTGGCTTCAACCTGGCCCAGTCCTGGTCACTGTGGCCATTTGGACAGTGAACCAGTGGATGGAAGATTTCTTTTTCTCTCTGTCTTTCCCTCTCTCTGCCTTTTAAATAAGTAAAATAAATTTAAAAAACAAACTTTGAGCCAAGGGACTTTATTAATAAGTATTCTTCAACCACAGTGTGTTGTGGTGGTTGTTAGTGATGTGTAACCAAATTATCACACAAAACTTGTCTTTAAAAAAAAAAATCAGGTCAAAGTTTCATCATTCTCAAATCCTGTTATTATCCTTGAATAACAGGAAAACAGTATGTTCTACTCCTTTAAGGACTATTCCTTATGACCTTATAATGCAAAAGAGAATTGGGCTTGTGTGGACAGCTTGTTACGGAAAAACTGCTAATGATGTGCTCGTCTATTATCAGCCAGGAAACCTCACCTGAAATGCACATTGTGAAAGACATTTTGTAGATGGTCAATGTTATAATGGAGCAGCATGTCTGCCCTGATGCTTTGACCTCCCAGACATCAGTGAGTTTCAGTCAGTGAACTAAAACATTGTAAAGTTGATTTAAAAAGAAAACTTACAAGGACTGGTGTTGTAGCATAGCTAGTAAAACCACTGCCTGCAATGCCAGCATCCCAGACAGATGCCAATTCTAGTCTTGGGTACTCCAGTTCTAATTCACTTCCCTCTTAATGGCCTGGGAAAAGCAGCAAAAGATGGCCCAAGTGTTTGGGACCGTGCCACACACATTGGAGATCCAAATGAAGCCGCTGACTCCTGGCTTTGGCCTCCAGATCAGCCATTGTGACTCTCTGAGGAATGAACCAACCAATGGAAGATTTTCTCTTTTTCTCTCTCCCCCTCCCTCTCCCTGTAACTCTTTCAAATAAATAAATATTTAAAAATAAAATAAGAAAGTTTACTGCATTGTTTATCGTTATCTACTTTTGTTAAAATGATTGGTCAAGGTGACAAACCTTGTGGAATTCTCTAAAACAATTTCAAGAAGAATTTTTAATTGTCAGATCTTACAAGTTTAAAAAACTTCTTTAAACTGAAATAATATTAGAGCATGAGTATTTTTCCAGTTATGTACTTCCAGTATTTCCAAAGTCAAATGCATGCTGCTGCTGCATGTATCTGCACTCAGACTAGGCCCTAAGTTCACAGGAAAGGCTGCTTTTCTATTCTTTGTGTCATTAGAAACTAAATTTTCTTGAGAGGTTTTGTACAAAAACACTTTAGTTACCAAAATTCATATTGCTCCAGAAATACCAAAATATTTCATGTGTATTACATGACAAAAAAATGTCATGTTTATTTCAGAGAAACAGTCTGAGGATGACAGCTCTCAAGCCTTCCTCTCAGCACAGAATGGATCTCCTCGCCTGAACAGGGCAGACCTTGTCCCAGCCAGGCCTGCTCCCCAAGATGCCTATGATGTCGTCTTGCAAAGAAAAGAAAATGAAGGATTTGGCTTTGTCATCCTCACCTCCAAAAACAAACCCCCTCCAGGAGGTAAGAGCTGTGGGATCCTATCCTCTCCCTCTGCCAAGGTCTGTTTTCTGGGCCTCCCTCTGGAGATTGCGAAACTAATTAGCAACTTCGTATAAACTGCCCTAGGGACTTACTTTTTAGTGGGGTCTGTGTGTGTGTGTGTGTGTGTGAGTGATTTTAAGTGACTTAAACCAAACCTTTTGGGTTTCAGGTTTACCTTTCATCTCAGATTCCATGAAATGTCTCGTTAATTCAGTTTGTCTCAAGGTTATTCTAAGTGTATCAGGGACACGACTGAATGGACTTGGTGAAAGAATGCTGACTTCTTTTAAATATAGGGGCATAGGTTTTTTTAAATTCGGAGAAATCATATATGTAGAAATGACCTAAATACTAAAAACAATTGAGAAAAGCACATTAATAGGAAAGTCTCAACCCAAATAAGTCTTGAATAGGTCTTTCATGTCATTCAATAGTATTTGCTATATTCTGCTATAAAATGCCCTATTGAATGATACGAAACAATCCTACCCTTCACATATGTTTCAATAAAAAGTCAAAAATTTGTCAGAACTTTCAAAACTAAATATCCTGAAGCACACTCAAGAGAACTTTCTCATCTGGGAGGAGTAAATATTCTGTCAGTTCTTTCAACAAAGAAAGGAATACACCTGGCAGGTTCAGAGCTGTTGTGGTTCAGCAAATGAAGCATTTGTCTTATCTTGATGTTTCTAGGAAATAGTAATCTTTAAATATTATTATAAAATCAACTCTATAAGGTGAGCACCAACCAGCACATTGATATTTATATATTACACTTCTCTGATAACTTTATTTTTCCAAGTCAAATGGTAAAAGTCTTTGACCACATGAAAATATCCCCTTGCCTTTCCCAGTAGACATGATTGTATCTCGGAGTGGTGAGAACCTTCTAGACTAGATAATTATTAAAACTCTAGTTAAAAAAGAAATCATTTCCAGGAAAGTATTGTACACCAAACTAATTTGCAAAAACTCTTGCTAAAATTATTACAGGTGTATCAAGGAAGAAGATTCTGTGACATGGATGAATTATTGCTATAGTATCAGGTCACTGCTCACTGATACTAGTTTCATTTTCCAAAAGCAGTTGCTATGGTAACACTTGGAACTGGAACTGTCACCAATGCTGTGAGGATGATTATGTGGCCTGTGTCAGAAAAATGAAAGAAAAGCAGCTTTTAGGTGGTTTTCATGCTGTATCATTGGAAATCAGTATTTCCAGAGACAACCATTAAGGATAATCATATTGTCATTCTAATACCTTACAATAATCCTAGACAATCAGATTAACAAAATTTGTAAAAGATTATTCCTCAGTGTGATGGAGGCTAACCACTTTGTGTAGTGAAGATGTTCCCTTTCTGGCATTGCAGAAATTAGGGAAGTAGTTTAGAGGAGTTCAGTAAAATAAGTTGCAAGCTTAAATATGTTTAACCATTTTTATGTTTGCTTATATTTCGAATTTTAATATAGTAAATATATTTCCTTTATGTATTCATGTATATTTAAACATTTTAAGTATTTTTAGTTATTTGCTTAATAGCATCTTACTATTTTGATGGCTTTGCCTGCATACATGTAGATCTCTGTATAAGGCAGTGTCATTAAGTGTTGGGTTCTATAATAGACAAACTTGGATTTGACCTTGCTTATATCTTTAAATAGCTGTCTGATCTTGGGAAAATTACCCTCCAAAAGCTCCATTTTCCTCTGTAAATGCGGGTGATAACACTCCCTGCCTCTCATAAGGGTGAGCATCAAACAAGATAATGGTGTGCAGTCTTTGGGCCAGATTTCCAGTCCTCTTAGCTTCTGTTGCCTGCTAGAGCTTCTGTTGCCATTGTTGTCATCATCATTAATTAGAAAATTGCCACTCTCTTGACCTTTTTTTTAAAAAAAAGCTTTAAAGTTTATCAATACTTAATAATGAGATGGGAAAGAAAGCCCAATTAAAATGTAAGATGTAAAATTAAAATGTAAAATGACAGGAAACGAGTGTTTGCAGCCCGTTAATTATCAACATGAATCGTAATTTAGACTTAAGATTGTTGGTGAATTTTATATAAAGTACTTGAGATTTTCACTCATGATGTAAAACCAGAATTTGTAATTTTACTGAAATGCTAATGAGTAATATCACCCAACACTGTGCCCTATAAGCATTCTCCCTGGACCTCCATGCATCTTGTGGATAGAAGAAGGGTCCTGGGGTGAGCATGGATGAGGAGCCATCAGTCAGACAGTAGTCACTGCAAACTGCAAAGGTTTTGTATAGAAAGGTGTTAGCACAGGTGAAAAGGCAGGAAACCTGTCTGTCAGAATAGATCATTCTTTATGGGTCTTGGCTGAGCTCTGCTCAACATAGTTTACTTCTTTCTTGTAATCATATGTATTTTTTTAAAGATTTATTTCTTTATTTGAAAGTCGGAGTTACAGAGAAGTAGAGTCACAGAGAGAGTGAGAGAGAGAGGGAGTGGTTTTCCATCCACTAGTTCACTCCCCAAATGGCAGCAATGGCCAAAGCTGAGCCAATCAAAAGCCAGGAGCCAGGAGCTTCTTCCAGGCTTCCCATATGGGTACAGGGGGCAAGTGCTTGGGTCATCTTCTGCTGCTTTCCCAGGTGCATTACCAGGGAGCTGGATGAGAAGTAGAGCAGCCTAATCATATGTATTTTCTGATGACATATGCCACAGGAAGAATTCCTCATAGCATCTTTAGTTGTGAAATTCTGAGATTCTCTACTGAGAAGCAGGGATCCAAATCAGGATCCTCACCGTGTGTCTGAATCAGGTGGGGAACGTCCAGCCCACGGGCCATATCTGCAAAACCATTTGGTCTGCTCCACCAAGGCCTCCACAGGCGGGAGGACTCAAAATTCAGTAAGTCACAGTGCATAACGAGTGGCGCCAGCATCCCATATGGACACTGGTTCGAATTCCAGCTGCTCCCTGCTAATGCTCCGGGAAAGCAGTGGAGCATGGCCCAAGTCCTTGGCCCTTGCACCCACATGGGAAACCCAGATGGAGCTCTCAGCTCCTGGCTTCAGACCAGCCCAGCTCTAACCACTGTGGCCATTTGGGGAGTGAACCAGCTGATGGAAGATCTCTCTGTCTCTCCCACTCTCTCTCTCTGTAACTCTGCCTTTCAAATGAATAAATAAATCTTCTTTAAATATTCAGTAAGTCTGTAGCAGACTAAATTTTAGTTTGATCATTTTGTGTGGCTCACGAATGATTTTGTAAATATCTAAATGGCCCTTGGCAGAAAAAAGGTTCCCCATCCCTGGCAGGGCCGAATGACCTGAGCTCTCAGGCAAGGCCTTTATTAAAGTGGGAAAGAACTTGGCTAGTTTTTGCTTTCAGTGCTTTTCAGAGCTTTTAGTGCTGTTCTTTCTTGTGGTATAATTTTCAATCCTGTTTAAAAAGGATTTCTTTGAGAAGGGGACATTTCCAGTTACTATGTTTCTTTTCCCGAAAAGAAATGCACTAAAGTGATCTCAGTAGCTGGACAGCCAGGCTGTGAGACAGATTTCAGTCACAAATGAATGAAGATGGGTATCTTGGCTTTATATCTGGAGACCTTGTATACCAACAAAAACAAGACAGTACTCTGGCTTTTCCATAACTGTGTATCCTCTAAGGGGTTACCTTGAAAATTTTCCTATTCCATTTTAAAAATATTCAGAAGTTACCTCTCTGCTAGTCTGTGTAATGTCTTTAACCATTTTGATGGTACCACTAAAAATGCCAACACAGTAACAACCTACTAGTTTTACCCTCCCTCACCCAGACAACTAAGACTTTGAAGTTGTATGTTACCATTTGTCAATCCCTTCTTACCATATTGCTCTCAAGGTGGCAGGGAATCACCAAGACTTCAGAGCTTAATCATGTTTGATGCTTTCCCAAGACTGAACAGACTCCTTGTAATGAACCAGGGAGCTGGAAGATTTTTTTTTTCTAGAATAAATACTATTTATGAGTAAACCTTTTCTAAGAAGGAGAATAACTGTGGTATTGATTTAGAAGGGTACCAGAGGCCACCTTGCGATTTGCCATATAGTTCTGATGTGCTACCTGTTTTACCACTAGCAAATTGGCTCATGATGCCAACACAGGACATGGCCCAACGTGCACTGACATTTTTCTAATTGCTTTGTTTGTAAGGAAAATGGAATTTTAGTATTTGACATAATTCTGAGCTAAAAGGCACTTGCTTCCAGTATTACCTTCCTCTATTTTAAGGTAAAAATCTCCCACTCTGTAATCCTAGAAGAACCAAGGCACTGTCGTCTATAGAGACATAAATCTTGGTAAAGAATAACTTTTCTGATCCAAATGAAGGTCTTTTAAAAAATCCTTGAGGCCAGCACTATGGTGCAGTTGGTTAAGCCACAGCCTGCAGCACTGGCATCCCATGTGGGCTCTCGTTCAAGTTCCAGATGCTCCATTTCCAATCCCGCTCCCTGCTAGTGCACCTAGGAAAGCAGTGGAGGACAGCCCAAGTCTTTGGGCCCCTGCACCCACGTGGGAGACCCTGAAGAAGCTCCTGGCTTCTGGCTTCAGCCTGGCCCAGCTCCGGTTTTAGTAGCCATTTGGGGAATGAGCCAGTGGATAGAAGATCTTTCTCTGTCTCTCCTCTCTCTGTGTAACTGTTTTCAAGTAAATAAAAATATGTTTTTAAAAAATCATTAATATACTCTAAGATATGATTCAGAAACACTGGCAAGGAGCATGTTTTACTAAGGAAATTAAATACAATTCACAGTGCCATCTAAAAATATTAATTCATATCAATCAGTAGTCAGCAGGAGTCCAAATGTCCAATAAGTTTACTAATCTAAACTAGGAAATTCTCAGAGAACATAAAAAGAGCATTTGTGTTGGGATACAAATGTTCCTTGTTGCATGGTGGAAGGTATTTTGTTTGACAAAATGTCCTGAATACCCAAGAACTGATTTGAAGCTAAAGTAATAGCAAGGTGTCTTAAAAATTAGTCTAGGAAAGCCCTTACCATTATGGCTAAAGATACAATAGAGTTGCACAGAGTCTTTGCACATGTGTTAGACTCAGACTTATGCATTCAGGGTAGAACTTTACCCATGAGCCAAGTAGTCTTAATGTTGAACATTTAATATTCTAGTTCTACTCAGCTTTTGAATTTTAAAACACCCAAGACACAAATAGAATTAATTTTTATGTAGACCAAAGTATGATTCATTTTAATGATTTTTTTTTAAGATTTATTTATTTATTTGAAAGTCAGAGTTACACAGAGAGAGAAGGAGAGGCAGAGAGAGAGAGAGAGAGAGAGAGGTCGTCCATCCAATGGTTCACTCCCCAATTGGCCACAACAACCCAAGCTGGGCCGGTCCGAAGCCAGGAGCCAGGAGCTTCTTCCCGGTCTCCCACGCAGGTGCAGGAACCCAAGGATTTGGGCCATCTTCTACTGCTTTCCCAGGCCATAGCAGAGGGCTGGATCGGAAGTAGAGCAAGCCAGGTCTCGAACTGGCACCCATATGGGATACCAGTGCTTCAGGCCAGGCCATTAACTCACTATACCACAGTGCCAGCCCCTATTTTAATGATTAATCATTTCACTATACCTCAATTCCTAACCAGTATCTACTGAGCCCTAAACTTAAGTTGGTTCCTTGTGAGAATAATTGTCCTCCCAACATAACCAGAGGTAGTCTCAGTTCTAAAATAGTAACAGTTCTAAAATAGCTAAAAACTTGACACAGCCAAAGTGGCCAACAGTGAACAAGATGTAAGATCAATGAGATTAGTAGCCCTTAAACAGGGTAATTCAGATGATGATATGAAAATTGAAAAAAGTTTCTGGTATGTGGAAAATAACAAATTTATTTTTTATGACTACAACTGTGTAAAGGTTATCTGTGATTATGATTATGAAAATAGTTGCATTTGGAAAGCTTGATGACATGTGATCTTTTCTGCCATATTGTAAAGGATTTTCTATTATGATGTTGAATTTTGAAATGATGGTAATGGTAAATTCAGTACTGCTAGATATATAATTGAAAAAGAGTAAAATGTTTCTCCTCCTAGTTATTCCTCATAAAATTGGCCGAGTCATAGAAGGAAGCCCAGCTGATCACTGTGGAAAGCTGAAAGTTGGAGATCATATCTCTGCAGTGAATGGGCAGTCCATTATTGAACTGTCCCATGATAACATTGTTCAGCTGATCAAAGATGCCGGTGTCACTGTCACACTCACGGTCATTGCCGAAGAAGGTAAGGAGCTGAAAGTTCTACCTCTCCCAAGCCGACATGAGGGGCACGGAGCCCGCAGAAGGCAACAGCCACCTTCAGCGTTTCCAGGATCGCTGCAATGACAGAGCTGTGTGTATACCCAGGAGGCTTATTTTTGCCTCTCCCATTTAACAACCTTAAAAGACAGTTTATTTTAAAGTTATCAGCAGCTCAAGAAAAATAATCCAGCTAGTGAGTGGTGGTCATTTGTTTATGTGCCAGAGAAGCTAGAACCCAGAAATGAAGGAGATTGGTGATACTTTTCAGATCTTATTTTCTTAAAATAACGTCTTGAGTCTTTGCCTCAGTGACAGGAAATCCTTTAAACAGTTCAAAGAAAGTCACTGTTAGCATCAACCATTTTATGTCATGCCCGTGCCAGGGTGTGCCTTTCCTGCCAGAGGGCAGGGCTTTGTTCTGGGCAGCTGCTTTTGAACAGGAGAAAGGGGAGTGGGCAGAAATGGCTGGTTAATAGGACATACAGCGCAAACTGGCAGCCCTGGGGTCTTACAGACACACTTAGTGTCTTGCCTTGCTTTGAGACTCCCTTTTGATCATGAGGAATTTCTAATTATGAACTATTTTGAACTAGTTCATGTACTTTGTTTATGAATTATAAGGTAATTATGGTGCAGTACTTATTTTCCTGGTTTTGCAAAACTAACAAAGATTAAAGATGAAAATGTACATAACTGCTTATATGCACAGGGTTCGTTTGATAATAATTGTCATTGCTTTACCTGCATGACTGGCTGCCTCATTCAGGTCTTTACTTAAAACTCATCCCTTAAGAAAATAATAACATATAGTAGGCACCTGGCTACCTGATACAGGCACTGCCCTAAATCCCTTACATATACTAACTCATGTGGTACAGTAATCCTATTCTTGCGGTTGAGGAAGCTGGGTGGGTCACAGAGCAGTAGAGAATTTGTCTATGATCATAAGACCAGTTACCAACAGAACTAATATTTGAATCAGGAAAGGCGCTGTGGCTCTAGACTGTTTTTCACTGATGTGCTCTCCTAACTCTGGTGTCTGACCCGCCCCCTGCTGCTCCAGTACTTTTATGATCCCTTGCCCTGCTTTACTGGTTCTTCATTGCACTTATATGTGAGATTGTTTATTGTTTGTATTATCTATCTCCCCGGCTGCTAGAATGCAAAGCCATAGGATTCATACAATTGGATGTTTTATAGAACAATGTTAGGCACCTAGCAAATGTTCAATAAAATGTTTTTAAAAGAAAAATGTCAAAAAAAAATTTTTTTTAAATGTTACCTGTGATTTAGGTCAGATTGTTTTTATTTCAATTTCTAGTCCATGGTCTCCACAACCCACATTCTACTCTTGGCATTTGTTCTGTGGCCCACAGAGAAAAGCAGGCCTTAGTTGCCATTTCAGGGTTGTTCTGAGAACAAGGTATGTAGTTCACTTGTGTATCACCACACCTGACAATAGGCACTACGTGACAGAAGCAGCTACAAGAGTGGCGCTAAAGGTAGCGTAGATAAGTCAAACCATCTGTAGAAAAGGACCAGTGATATTTTTCCCAAGTCCATTTCAGTGCAGTGTTTCTGAGATAAATAAAAATGAAGAAAGCTTTTAAAAAAACAAAGCTATCCAGTCAGGTTGTTATAAAATTATCTAAATACATGCTCTCAGTAGCTATACATGTCCTGTTGCTAACTGACCCGCACTTTGAGTAGCTTTGGGATAGTTTAGTAGGAAAAAGGAGAGAGAGACCATTTATTTCTCTTAAATATTTTGTTCCGGTATTACCATTTATTGTTTGGTGTTTTCTCTAAAAGCTTATCCAGAATTGCTCATCATTTTTTATTTTTTTAAAGGAAAACGTTTTTTAAAGATATTTATTTATTTGAAAGGCAGAGTTATAGCGAGAAAGGGAGGGACAAGGAGAGAGACCTTCCATCTGCTGATTCACTCTCCAGCTGGCTATAATGGCCAGGACTGGGCCAGGCAGAAACCCAGAGCTTCTTCTAGATCCCCGACATGGGTAATAGGGTCCAGGCACTTCGGCCATCTCCACTGATCTCCTGGATGCATTAGCAGGGAGCTGGGTTGGAAATTCAAATCAGCGCTAATATGGGATGCTGACATTGCTGATGACTGCTAACCCACTGCACCACAACACTGGCCCCTTGCTTATCACTGTGCTCGCAGTAAAAGTTTCCCTTGACATCTGGCCCAAATACTTCAGAACAGACTCAAGATTCCCTGTTTAAATGTTTATTTATTTATTTGAGAGGCATCACTACAGACAGAGAGGAGACAAAGAGGTCTTCCTTCCGATGGTTCATTCCCCCAAAAAGCTGCAACGGTCAGAGCTAGGCAGATCCGAAGCCAGGAGCCAGGAGCTTCTTCCAGGTCTCCCACGTGGGTGCAGGGGCCCAAGCAGTTGGACATCTTCCACTGCTTTCCCAGGCCATCAGCAGGGAACTGAATAGGAAGTGGAGCAGCCGGGACTCAAACTAGCGCCCATACGGGATGTCGGCGTTGCAGGCAGAGGCTTAACTTTCTACACCATAGCTCCAGCCCCAAGTTTCCTTGTTTAACTCAGTCAGTGTCCAGGAGAGATAGAAGGGGAGGAGACTCCCCAGCACATGCATGCTTAGAGTACATAGGCAGTCATGGCTTCTTAAAATATGATCACATTTGAGACATAAAGTCACACTTCAGTAACTACACATTATTTAATTATACTCAGGTTTTTTTTTTTTTAATACAAGTCTATAAAAGTAGAAATCACATACAAAAATACAGATTACTCTGACATGTTGGCAAACTAGCTTATGGCTGGACTTGAGTTTGAAGTATAGGCACTGTTACTGGGGGCATCTGGAAGTCAACGTCCAACCAGATCCTGTCACCAGCCCTTGTCACTATATACTCAGGTTTTTTACCAAACTGAAAACATTGAGAATCTCTCACATTTCTAAGGAAAAAATAAAAAGAATCCCTTCTAGCCAAAAAAACTCATTCGTGGAATTTGTAAGTCTTCCAGGTTTCTCATTGAATTAAGTATTAAATCTATCCACTACATTAAAGAGTCAGATGACTCTTTGTAGCTATAAAGGTGTTTTTAGAAATACCACATTCAGATCACATATCAGAGGTGCATTGCTTTCCATCGGATATGCTCCCCTGTTCTCCTGTCACTATTAACAGGTGAAAGTTACCTGGGGAAGAAACAGCTGTTCCCTCCATCCTCCCCACCACCACCCCGCATGCTCCATACTGCTTAATATTTGCACTATTTTGCCAAGGAAATAGCAGGTTAAGGGTCATGTCTCCTATAAGACCCTTAGGACGATCTCTGCCTCGTGGCGTGCCCCACAGTACTAACACCTTTTTGCCATTATGGTGTCTTGTCCTAAAGAACAAAACATAAGGTGACTCTGTCTAGTATTCCTGCTTTCCTGAGAAGAAAATTATTCTCTATTTGAAAGGCAGAGTTAAACAGAGAGGGTGGGGGAAAGGGGGGGGGGCGGAATCGAGATCTTCCATTTGCTGGTTCACTCCCCAAACGGCCCACAACAGCCTGGGCTGAGCCAGGCCAAACCCAGGAACCAGGAATCCCATCTGAATCTCCCACATGGGTGCAGGGTCCCAAAGCCATCCTGTGCTGCCTTCCCAGTCACATGAGGAGGGAACTGGATTAGAAGTGGAACATCTGGGACTTGAACTGGTGCTCGTATGGGATATCAGCAGTGGCTTAACCTGCTGTGCCACAGCACTGGTCCTTGAAGCAACTTTTAGATTACACTTTTTTCAAAATTAATTATTTTTGTTAGATCTTAATCATTTTAGTGAATAAGCCATTCCTGAAGGCTACCAAACATTCATATTGGAATGATTCTGGCAATGTTGACAATTTTGTTTTGAGTTCCTATTTAAATCTTTACCTGTTTATTCCCACTTGTTTCCATTTCCCACTCATTTCTGTCCCTGCTGCCATTGGCAGTCATATGTTTTATGTGTCACACTTTATTTGTATGTCCTTTTTTAAAATTGATTGACTTGAGAAACAAAGAGCCTGATGGGTCTACACTGGCAGGCAGCTAGAATCAAGAGTTGGAGCCAGGCATCAAACTCAGGCACTCTTATATGAAATGTGGGCATTTTACCTGCTAAACCAAACACCACTCGTTTTAAAATATAGTTTTTGGTGCACACCGTCTCCTTCATCCACCACTGCTGCCTCCTTCTGCCACTCCTGGTGCTCTTTCAGTGTGGACCTGGTACCTCTTTTGCGAGTGCCAGCTGAGGAGACTGGTGCTTGCCATGGCCGACAAAAAGCCCAAGGAAGGAGTCAAGACTGAGAACAGCAATGATACTCATTTGCAGATGGGGGGCGGGGGGCAGGATGGTTCTGTGGTGTGGTTTAAAAGAGGCATACACCACTTAGGAAACTAATGGAAGCCTATTATGAACAACAGGGTCTGTCAGTGAGGTAGATCAGATTTCTGATTTAACTGAATCAGACACATGTACACAGCTGGAACTGGAAGATGAAGATACACTTGATGTGTTCCAGCCCCAGAGAGGAGGTATCTGCTAAGAAGGGAACCTACTACTTTACTCTAGAGCCCTGTTCTTACAGACCCAGAAAACACTCTTCATCACGCCCTGACTACTACAGTGGAGTTTGCTCTATTTCATCTTCCTCTTCCCCATCCCTTTATTCCTGGTGTATGTGCACAAGCATATTGCAGTTTTTCTTTTCTTTCTCTCTCTCTCTTTTTTAACTAAATGGCCAAAGGTATGTTTTGATTTATATCAAATGGAGACGGAATGGGAAAAAATACTGGTTCTGTGAAAATATCCTCTTTCTTCATTAGTGAACACTCATTCAGCTCTTATTTTTTTAAGAGATTTATTTATTTATTTATTTATTTATTTATTTATTTATTTATTTGAAAAGCAGAGTTACAGAGAGGCAGAGGCATAGAAAGAAAGAGGGGTCTTCTGTCCGCTGGTTCACTCCCCAAATGGCCACAACAGCCAGAGCTGTGCCTGTCTGAAGCCAGGAGCCTAGAGCTTCTTCAGAGTCTCCCATGCAGGTGCAGGGGCCCAAGGACTTGGGCCATCTTCTACTGCTTTCCCAGGCCACAGCAGAGAGCTGGATCGGAACTGGAGCAGCCGGGACTCAAACCAACGCCCATATGGGATGCCAGCACTGCAGGCAATGGCTTTCCCTGCTCCGCCACAGTGCCGTCCCCTCATTCAGCTCTTATCTTTATATTTAAGTAAGTTATTATCCTCTCACAGTTTTTTTATTTTTTTTTTTATTTTATTTTATTTTTTGACAGGCAGAGTGGACAATGAGAGAGAGAGAGACAGAGAGAAAGGTCTTCCTTTGCCGTTGGTTCACCCTCCAATGGCTGCCGCAGCCGGCACGCTGCGGCCGGCGCACCGCGCTGATCTGATGGCAGGAGCCAGGAGCCAGGTGCTTTTCCTGGTCTCCCATGGGGTGCAGGGCCCAAGCACCTGGGCCATCTCACTGCACTCCCTGGCCACAGCAGAGAGCTGGCCTGGAAGAGGGGCAACCGGGACAGAATCCGGCACCCCAACCGGGACTAGAACCCGGTGTGCCGGCGCCGCTAGTCGGAGGATTAGCCTAGTGAGCCGCAGCGCCGGCCTATCCTCTCACAGTTTTAACAAAAACAACATAAAAATTCTTGCATACCTTGTTTGATTTTAGAATTTCAATGTTTTTTATTTATCATTGTAAAACCAAGGACAATTTTATAGGTATTTTTGTATGTAGCTGTTACATTTAGGATAATCTTTCTTTTAAGTAGGGGTAAATGAATACTAGATAAGTTTTCCCTTCAAGTCAAGCATCTTGTTTAAATAAACTTACTGTTTAAAAAAAAATAAAGTTTTTGCTATGTTCGCATGATTTTTGAGTTATAGGAATAATATTGTATTAGATTTTATGCTTTTTTCAAATATTCTCTTTTATTTATTTACTTGAAAGAGACAGAGATAGAGATCTGGTTCACTCCTCAAATGTCCACAACGGCTGTGGCTGAGCCAGGCCAAAGCCAGGAACCAGGAACTCAATACAGGTCTCTTATGTGGATAGCAAGGACCCAACTACTGAGCCATCACCTGCTGCCTCACAGTATGCATATTAGAGGAAGCTGCAATCAGGAGCGTAGCCAGAACTCAAACCCAGGCCCTCTATTACACATTTGGGCATCTCAAGGGGCCTCTTCCCCACTACACCAATGCCCACTTCTATCCTGGATCTTTTTCTACAAACCATGTATTTTGATTACTTTTCTAAGTATTGTTTTACTTTTCTAGGATCCAATTCAGGATTCCTGATGGCATGCCTCCTTGTCAGTTCTTTTCTTTTTAATTGAGATATGATTCATATATTATAAAATTCATTATTCTAACCTGTACAGTTCAACAGTTTTTAGCATAGTCACAAGATTGTGCAACCATTACTAATAATTCCATAGTATTTTAACCAGTTCCCCTTTTCAAAAAAGGAACCCCAGACCCATTAGAATTCATTTCCTGTGGCTGGCACTGTGGCGTAGCAGGTAAAGCTGCCGCCTGCAGTGCCGGTATCCCATATGGGCACCGGTTTGAGTCCCAGCTGCTCCACTTCTGATCCAGCTCTATACTATGGCCTGGGGAAGCAGTAGAAGATGGCCCAAATCCTTGGGCCCCTGCACCCGTGTGGGAGACCCAGAAGAAGCTCCTGGCTCCTGGAGCCAATGGGGAGTGAACCAACAGATGGAAGATTTCCCCTCTCTGTCTTTCCTCCTCTCTCTATACAACTCTGACTTTAAAATAAATAAATAATTCTTACAAAAAAAAGAAAAAAGTCATTTCCCATTCTCCTCAAACCTCTATCCCTCCTCGGCAACCAGGATTCGAATTTGTATGTCAGCAGACTGGCTGACCCATTCATTCAAATAGAATCATACACCATGTGACTTTTTGTGTCTGGCATCTGTCACTTAGCAAAATGTTTTCAAGTTTGCCTTTGTTGTAGCATGTACAAGTACCTTATTCCTTTTTGTGACTAATGAATAATGTTGCATTATGTAGTCATACATTTTGCTTACCTGTTCATCATATGTTTCCACTTTTTTACTGCTGCAAGTAATGCTGCTATGAACACTAGCATAGGAGGTTTTTGTATTGATGGGTGATTTCATTTTTCTTGGGAATATTATAGTTAGGAGTGGGATTGTGGGGTTGTATGGTAACTCCAGTTAACTCTCTGAGGAACTGCCAAATTGTTTTCCACAGCAGATGTACCATTTTACATTCCCACCAGCAATGTATGAGAGTTCCAGTCTCTACATCCTTGACACTTATGTTTACTGGTCTATTTGTTTGTTTTTCTAGCCATTCCAATGAGTATGAGGTGGTATCTCATTGATATCTTTGTGATGACTGAAGACACTGAGCATCTTTATGTGCTGATTGGCCATTTGTGTCTCTTCTTTGGAGAAATGTTTGTTCAATTCCTTTGCCCATGTATAACTTTATTATTGAATTGTAAGATTTCTATATGCTAAATACTAGACCTTTCTCAGATACATCAGGCTTCAAAAAGTTCATGGGAAATATTTACTGTGGCTTTCAAAAATTTTGACAACAAAATAAACTTAAATTTTAATTCCATTTCTCCATTAACTCTTTGCAATGCCCTCTTATTTACGTTTTAAGTATTCTCCATGCTGTAGTTCTATTTCTACTTTTTCGATGTTATCCTTCAATACACAAAATTTTTAATATTGCTGAAATCTTATTCTTATATTTTTGCCTCTTATATCATAGCATCACATGTTTTTAATATTTACCCAAATAGCTGAATGATCATAGTTGATTGCTTTTAACTGCTTGACAGTTGTTTTAAGGATTTAATTTATTTATTTGAAAGACAGAGGTTACGGGGGGGTGGGGTTTTCCATCTGCTGATTCACTCCCCAAATGGCTGCAATGGCCCAAGCTGAGCTAATCCAAAGCTAGGAGCCAGGAGCTTCGTGAATTATTTATGCATTAGTCCAATTTCTTTTTTTTTTTTTTAGTTAATTTCATTTCTTTTTAGAAATAATTAACTTTAAAGAAGTACCCAAGAATGATACATCTTTTGGGAGTACTTAGACATAGTTATAATACAACTCTTTGAGGACAGAGGTCATGCGTTGGAAGTTAGTGCACAGTGACTCTTGTTGTTAATTTAACAATTAAGACTGTTACGTATGACATCAGTAATCACCCTAGACTCTTGACATGAGCTGCCTAGGCTATGGAAACCTTTTGAATCAGCAAACTGTCAGTATTTAGAAAAGACCATAAGCAAAGTCGAAGTTCTCTTCTCCCTTCAGAGAGAAGTACTTCATTCTTTGATGAATACTTCTTTCCACTAGGGTCTCAACCACTGACGTCACTTATGTAAGATATTTTTTGCCATAGTGTCTTGACTTTCCATACCTGAAATGTTCATGTGGGATTTTCAGCCAGACTAGAGTACCTTTAAGGGCTGATCTGAGGTCAGAGTGCTATTTAAAGTGATTGTCATTCTTGAGTCTGCTGTGTGGAGTGCTTCCTATGTTGGAGCATTCACTCCCTTTTAATTCTATCTATTATTATTACCAGACCCTTAATCCTATCCATATGATCACTTTAACACTTAACATGGTATTTTTACCACCCAGCTTGAGGTTTGGGGTCACATGGCAAGTTTTTAAGCTGTACCCTTAGAAGTAAGTCTGTGAGAATGTATGTAGAACTAAACAGATTTACAGTTACAAACTTCATACACTTCATAATTACAACTTTAGGAACATGGTGATTCTTCCCACCATATCCACCCATCCACTTATACTCCCAATCCCTCTTGCTCCTCCCTCTGTTATTCCCACTTTTATTTTTTACTGAGATCTATTTTCAATTGACTTTATACACATATGTTTAACTCAATGGTAAGTAAAAAGCACAGCAAATAGTATTTAAAAAAAAAAAAAAACTGTTCCTCAACAGTCAAGACAAGAGCTGTTCAAGTTATTGTTTCCCAAAGTATCAACTTCACTTCTACAGAAATCCTTTTAGGTGCTCTATTGGTTATCACAGGTCAAGGAGAACATGTGGTATTTGTCCCATAGGGCTGGCTCATTTCACTAAGTATGATGTTTTCCAGATTCATCTATTTTGTTATAAATTACTGAATTTAATTTTTTTAAACTGCTCTGTAGTATACCATAGTGCACATATCCCATAACTTCTTTTATCCAGTCTTCAGTGGAAAGGCATTTGGGTAGATCCCATGTATTAGCTATTGTGAATTGAGCTGCAGTAAACATGGGGATCCAGATAACTCTTTCATAGGCTGATTTCATTTCCCTTGGGTAAATTCCCAGGAGTGGGATGGCTGGGTCATATGTTAGGTCTATATTCAGATTCTGAGGTATCTCCATATTATCTTCCAAAGTGGCACTATCAGTTTATATTCTCAGAAACAGTGGATTAAGGTTCCCTTTTCCCCATGCCCTTGCCAACATTTGTTGTTTGTTGATTTCTGTGTGAAAGCCATTCTAACTGGGGTGAGGTGAAACCTCATTGTGTTTTTTTTTTTTTTTGAAAGGCAGAGTGGACAGTGAGAGAGAGAGACAGAGAGAAAGGTCTTCCTTTGCTGTTGGTTCACCCTCCAATGGCCGCTGCGGCCGGCGCAGCGCGCTGATCCGATGGCAGGAGCCAGGAGCCAGGTGCTTTTCCTGGTCTCCCATGGGGTGCAGGGCCCAAGCACCTGGGCCATCCTCCACTGCACTCCCTGGCCACAGCAGAGAGCTGGCCTGGAAGAGGGGCAACCGGGACAGAATCCAGCGCCCCAACCGGGACTAGAACCCGGTGTGCCGGCGCCGCTAGGCGGAGGATTAGCCTAGTGAGCCGCGGCGCCGGCCCTCATTGTGGTTTTGATTTGCATTTCTCTGACACCTAGTGATCCTGAGCATTTTTTCGTATGTCTGATGGCCATTTGGATTTCCTCTTTTGAAAAATATCTGTTTAAGTCCTTTGCCCATTTCTTAACTGGATTTTTTATTTTGTTGTTGAGTTTCTTGATCTCTTTATATATTCTGATTATTAATCCTTATTTAATTGAATAGTTTGAAAATAATTTCTCCCATTCAGTTGGTTGCCTCTTCACTTTCCTGAGTGTTTCTTTTGTAGTACAGAAGCTTCTCAATTTGATGTAATCCCATTTGTCCATTGTGGCTTTGATTGCTTGTGCCTCTGGGGTCTTTTCCAAGAAGTCTTTGCCTATGCCAGTGTCTTACAGGGTTTCCCCAATTTTCTCTAATAATTTGATGGTATCTGATCATAGATTTAGGTCTTTAATCCATTTTGAGTGGATTTCTGTGTAAGGTGTAAGGTAGGGGTCTTGCTTCATGCTTCTGCATGTGGAAATCCAGTTTTCCCAGCACCATTTGTTGAAGAGACTGTCCTTGCTCCAGGGATTGATTTTAGCTCCTTTGTCAAATATGTTAGTTTTAGATGGGTGAGTTGATTTCTAGCATTTCTGTTCTGTTCTATTGGTCTATCCACCTGTTTTTGTACCAGAACCAGGCTATTTTGATTATAACTTCCCTGTAGTATGTCTTGAAATCTGGTTTTGTGATGCCTCCAGCTTTGCTTTTGTTGTATAAGATTGCTTTAGCTAATTGGGGTCTCCTCTATTACCATATGAATTTCAGGGTAAGGGTTAGGATTAGAGTTGAAAAAATATGAAAAAATTTCATTTTTTCTATATCTGAAAGAATGTCCTTGGTATTTTAAATGATATTACATTGAATCTGTAGATTGCTTTTGGAAGTATGGACATTTTGATGATACTAGTTCTTCCAGTCCATGAACATGGAAGATTTTTTTCCATCTTCTTCTATTTCTATTTTAATATTTTGTAATTCTCATCATAGAGATCTTTGATGTCCTTGGTTAAATTTATTACAAGGTATTTGATTTTTTTGTGTGTGTGTGTAGATATTGTGAATGGCATTGACCTTAGAAGTTCTTTCTCAGCCATGGCATTGTCTATGTATACAAAGGCTATTGATTTTTGTGTATTGATTTTATATCCTGTCACTTTACCAACCTCTTCTATGAGTTCCAATAGTCCCTCAGTGGAGCCTTTTGGATCTCCTATGTATAGAATCATGTCATCTGCAAATAGGAAAAGTTTGACTTCCTCCTTCCCAATTTGTAACCCTTTGATTTGTTTTTCTTGCCTAATGGCTCTAAGACTTCCAGGACTATACTGAATAGCAGTGGTAAGAGTGAGCATCCTTGTCTGGTTCCAGATCTCAGTGGGAATGCTTCCACTTTTTCCCCATTCAGTAGCACACTGGCCATGGGTTTGTCAAAGATTTCCTTGATTGTGTTGAGGAATGTTCCTTCTATACACAATTTGCTAAAAGTTTTCATCATGAAAGAGTATTATATGTTATCAAATGCTTTCTCTGCATCTATTGAGATAATCATATGGTTTTTGTTCTTCAATTTGTTAATGTGATGTATCACATTGATTGATTTGCAAAGGTTGAACCATCCCTGCATACCAGGGATAAATCCCACTTGGTGCAGGTGAATGATCTTTCTGATGTGTTGTTGGATTCGATTGGCCAAAATTTTTTTGAGGATTTTTGCATCTATGTTCATCAGGGAAATTGGTCTGTAACTATCTTTCTCAGTTGTATCTTTTTCAGGTTTAGGAATTAAGGTGATACTGGCTTCATAGAAGGAATTTGGGAGGATTCCCTCCCTTTCAATTATTTTGAATAGCTTGAGAAGAATTGCAGTTAGTTCTTTAAATGTCTGGTAGAGTTCAGCAGTGAAGCCATTTGGTCCTGGACTTTTCTTTGTTGGGAGGGTCTTTATTACTGATTCAACTTCCATGTTGGCTATGGGCCTGTTTGAATTATCTGTGTCTTCACGGCTCAATTTAGGTAGGTTCTATATGTCCAGGAATCTATCCATTTCTTCTAGGTTTCCCAGTTTGTTGGCATACAGCTCTTTGTAATAATTTCTGATGATTTTTTTTTTAAATTTCTGTGGTGTCTGTTGTTAGATTTCCTTTTTCACCTCTAATTTTATTGATTTGGGTCTTCTCTCTCCTTTATTTTGGCTAGTTGGGTCAATGGTATGTCAATTTTTTTGTTTTTTTGTTCTTTTCAGAAAATCATCTCTTAATTTCGCTGGTCTTTTGTATTGGGGGGGGTTCTATTTTGTTTATTTCTTCTCTAATTTAATTATTCTTTTTCTCCTACTATTTTTGGGTTTGGTTTGCTATTGTTTTTCTAGATCCTTCAGATGCATTGATAGCTCATTTATTTGGTGCCTTTCCAATTTCTTGATGTAGGTACCAATTCCTGTAAACTTTCCTTTTAACACTATTTTTGCCTTACCCCATAAATTTTGATATATTATATTGACATCTTCATTTGTTTCCAGAAGTTTTTTTATTTCTCTGTTGATTTCTTCATTCAGGAGCTCAGTCTCCACGTGTTTGCATATGTTCTAGGAATTCCCGAGTTGTTAATTCCCAGCTTCATTCCATTGTGGTCTGAGAATATGCATGGTATGATTTCGAATTTTTTGAATTTGTTGAGACTTGCTTTATGTCCTAGCATGTAGCTGATCCTGGAGAAAGTTCCATATACTAGTGAGAAGAATGTGTATTCTGCAACTGTAGAATGGGAAGTTCTGTAGATATCTGTTAGGTCCATTTGGTCTGTAGTATTGATTAACTCTGCTGTTTCCTTGCTGATTTTCTGTCTAGTTGATCTGTCCATTGCTGAAAGTGGGATATTGAAGTCACCCATTACTATTGTATTTGAGTCGTGTCTCTCTTTAGCTCTCTTAACATTTCTTTTAAATAGCCAGGTGCCCTCTAATTAGGTGCATATACATTTATAATAGTCACATCTTCCTTTTGAATGTATCCCTTAATTATTACATAGTGCCCTTCTTTGTCTCTTTTAACTGTGTGTGTGTGTGTGTGTGTGTGTGTGTGTTAAAGTCTATTTTGTCTGATATTAGGGTGGCTACACCAGCTCTTTTTTGATTTCTGTTAGCATGGAATATCTTTTTCCATCCTTTCACTTTCAGTCTGCATACATCTTTGTTGGAGAGATGTGTTTCTTGTAGGCAGCAAATAGATGGGTTTTGTTTTTTAATCCATTCAGGCAGTCTGTGTCTTTTAACCAGAGTGTTGAGGCCATTTACATTCAAAGTGACTATTGATAAGAAACGACTTTGCCCTGCTATTTTTCCATAAATATTCTTATTTTTTACTTTGGATTTCCTTTGTACTTTTACTGGAAGATTTTCTTCCTTTACCTTCTTTCACAGTGATAACCATGCTTCTGTGTATAGCACATCCTTAAACATCTTTTGCAAAGCTGGATGAGTGATGATAAATTCTTTTAATTTCTGTTTGTTATGGAAGGTCTTTATTTCACTTTCATTCATAAACAAGAGCTTTACAGGGTACAGTATTCTGGGTTGTCAGGTTTTTTTCTCTTAAAACTTGGAATATATCTCACCATTCTCTCCTAGCCTGTAGGTTTCTGAAGTCTGCTGTGAGTATAACTGGAGATCCCCTGAAAGTGATCTGGCATTTCTCTTGTGCACATTTTAGAATCTTTTTTTTATGTTTTACTGTGGAGAGTTTGATTATTGTTTTCTCCTAGACTAGAGCAGTAAGCTCCCTCCCTATTCCACCATCTTAATCCAGTCTCCCAATTTCATTTTAGAAAGTGCAAATATCTTTTCCTATCATCTGTATGTTAACTATGACCATCATATCCTTCATTACACAGAAATTCCTAAGTTAGATGTAATCAACTGGTCAATTATTACCTTAAAAGTTGAGCTTTTGAGGTTTATAAGTCACTCTTTTATCCCACATGACAGAGATTTTCATATTATATCATCTTCTGCTAGATTTATAAGGTTTTGTTTAGGTTTTTAATCCCTATGTGCCCACCCTGTTAATAGTTCCAGGAGAGGTATTCTGTATATTAACTTACCCTTTACATGTAAGTCTCCAAGCTCTGTTCTGTGCTGTTTATTTTGTTCTTAGACTGATGGTATACATTTCAGTTTATAATTTTGCAATGTATATATTTATGGTCTATTTTAATCTATTTGTCTACTAGGGCAAATATCTCCCCCTCCCTCCTCCCCACCTAAATTAACTAGGTATTCATGGAAGTTTTCCATGTAAAATTTTAGAGCAAATTATCAGACCTCTCAGAAAACTTCAGTTTTGAATATTTTCCTTATATAGATTAACTTTGGGAGAATTTATATCTGTAAATATTAAGTCATGCCACCTGAAAGCATGGGATGTCTCACTGTTTACTTTAGAATGTTCTCAGAGTTCTTATTTACTCTTGGTAAAGATAATACATCATGTGTGTTGCTGCAGTTTAACTGTGGATTTGTATTTATCCTTTCATAATACATTTTCTCTGAAGTACTCACAGAAACTCCAGCAAAACTTGTAATTCTCATTGAAGGAGAGACTTATCCCATTGCTTCACTGTTTGAAGAATTTTCAGATAAATTGAGAGAGAATATAGCCTTGTTTGACATCATAGGATAAATATTTAACTTGGAGAAGCAGAATAACTTGTAGCACAAAAATCAATTGGAGAAACCATGTAACTGGGTTGGACTGCACATGAAGAGAATGCCACTGATAGAAAGTTTTACTTCACCTTGATACGGACAAAAACAAAACAAAACAAAAAAACACGTAACTTACACCAAATTGTGCTGCATCTGTCTGGAAGTAGCATCTCTCATCCTTGGGAAGGTGGAGGAAAACCTGAAGCTGGTTCTCTTACTGACACTGTGCTGCTCAGGTGCCTTACACCCATTACTCTAGCCAACTA